GAGAAGATATTTTGTGTACCTCCTATGAGCAAAGTGCATTCATCTCTCCATTGCCAGCGCTCCCAAGACGACGGTGCAATAATTCTATCTACTTACCATTCCGGAGACCTCTTCTTTTGCAGATCTCCTGCTGCAGTTTGATCTCACTCACAACTACACTCACAGAGATGGTGCACACCCTTTTAGCCGGCAGATTCACTTCAGGTTCTTCGGTTTTCTTCCCTTCCTCCTACTACAGCTTACTTCCTCTTAGACATAATTTCAAAATAGTCACTGGTGGTTAGAAATGCTGAGATCTCATCTAGCTACAGCAATCCAATTCTTCGACTCCAAGGTCCGATCTCCACCTGTTTGGCATAACTCACTGGGCACTGCTTTCCACATCCCTGACCTTCCTTACTCTGAGCTCAGCGGCTGATTATCCACTGCTTTCCATGGTCTAAGATCAGGGCGTATTCTTACTGCTTCACTGCTGAACTCACCGGTAACTTCACTTTTAAACCAAAGAACAAACTCATCCAAAATCACCTCTCTACCTAGATCCTTAAGCAAGCACTTGGTAAAATCCCTTCCCTGCCCCTCTGGTCTCAAGTGAATATTCCTGACTTGGACTCCCCTAAGGGAGTAAGCGAGCACCTTCAAAATGGTGTAATTTACAACCTTCATCTTAAACAAACTATATTCAGAATCTGCAGTAAAATTTTTGAAGGAAAAGATGATATGTGCATGTTAGATGTGAGGCATCTTCTAAAATAAATGTCCTCACATCACCCGTAAAATCCAAAGCCTGCAGCTCTGTTGATATAGCTCAGTATAACTCGGTAGAGCATCGCTGCTGTTGCCTCCCACCAGTTCCTTATGACTTAATCCCATTCAACTGAAGGATGTAATTTCCTAGTCCAGCATCTGAGGAATGTTTTTGTACAGGGAAAAGAGCTGGGGAGACTACTGTGACTTCAGAGGGTCATGAGGCTTTATAATATCCTGTCATAACCTACAGGTACAGGTAGAAAAGCTAGAAAGAGTCAGAGAAAATGTCAGGACACAGCAGAAAGAGGCCTTTATCTGGAAAGATGAAGATGTTATGAATTCTCTTTCAAGAAGGCCAAAAGAAAAAAATAAAAAAGGAAAAGAAAAAAGAAAAGATGATCGGGGAGCAGAGATGATGCCTGTCTGATGAGCCAGCACTACCTGAATTTGTCCGTGAGTTGGTGAGCTGATGTTCTACACAATAATCTGTCACTGGGACCATCCCAAATCTCCATGGGCTGAGCCAAGACAAAGGCCTATCTCCACCCCTTCCAACCCAAATTGCCACAAAACTAAAGCCAGTATCCTGCCTGACCTGGGCTTGCTCTGCAGCCCACAGAAAAAGGCCGCTCCGGTGAACAACAGCAGGAGAGGTGCACTTTGCTTCTGGAAAGTGCCCCAATCCCCCCACTGACTTCGGAGGGAAACTAAGCGTCTCAGAAAAGCTTCCAGCTAACTGCCTAGCGAAGTGAAGTCACTGTGATGGGTACATGAGCAAGCCTAGCAACAAGCAGCATTGCCCTGTGTATATGCAGGGCTGAAATCCTGGCAGGAGTTACACTGACGTAAACAACAAGCTGCTGGTGGTATCAGTGAGCTCAAGGTTTTACCGCACAAGAAGCAGCATGCTTGCACTGTGTTCAGACTTTAACTTTCGTTACTTCCAGCTTCAACACTAATGATACATCACACTTGTTTAGTAAAATTGCCTTGATGTATTCAATAAAAGTTTGTAAGTATGAGCTAACAACAACTTGCTATTTACATGCCATTAAAGAAACATTAATTGCTCTAAAATCACCCAGAGAAGCTGGGATGTATCACAGGATCGTGGAGTTTCCAACAGAACAAGCTCTAACTCAAAATCAGCATTCCTTTCCCCTGCAGACCACCCAGGCCCTGTGTCTCTCTGGAGGTTCTGATTTGGGTGATAGAGCACAAGCCATCGCTAGCCAGGATTCTTACAAGTGGCTTTTGATGTGTTTAAGAGTTTATGAATGTCCAGCTTGAGATGATGAAATGTGACTGGTTTCCAGAGACCACTTGGGAACAACAGTCACCAAAAAACACATTTCCAGAAAAAGGCATATTTATCCTCATTTTTAGCAGCTCTCTCAAGTCCTACTCCGATTAATCTTGCTGTCTCCTTTTCCTACAGGCAAAGGCCTGGTTTCCCTCTGATTATCTGACCTCACATACACTCACATCAATTACACGTTTCTGGTCTAGCAGGGTTGGAGCTGGGATTCTTAAGGATATTAGCAGGCTTGTGAGGAGAAGTAATATAGATTATTTGACCAAAAGGGGCTGAGGGGAAAGAAAAGGAAAGAGAGGTCAAGGTTTGGGGCCAACAAGTAACCTCAGTTATTCCACCTCTTCTGTACCTTGCAGACAAGGCTCCTTCTACTGTTTGTTCTGGAAGGGGCCTTGCCACCTTCCTATACACAGCATAAATAAAACTCTCACCTTAGAGCCACGTGTCACTCTGTGGTTATCATATTCCCTCTAAAAAACGTGCTTCGACTCCAATCTGCTGGAAAGCTACACTGAAAGATAGAGTGAAATACCTTTTAACCTATACGTGGGAGGCTTGCTAAGAAAAAGCTGCTAGTTTAACATGCTTTCATCTCAAAGAGCTATTAATAAATAAGAACGATGCTGCCACAGTAGAGATTACTACAAAATTATACTTTCATTTTCACGAGGAACTAACCAGCTAGGCTCTGAACACCACCAGTCAACAAGCAGGAGGGAGGTAGAAACAGCCAGGGAATGGGGGTACAGAAGTACAGAGGAGGCACTCTTTTAACAAACCTTTTCTGGCACTGCTAGCTCCTTCAGCAAGTACAATATTTTCAATAAAATATTTTCAGTAACTGCAGTTAAGAGGAGTTAAAAATAAAACAAACAAGGAAAATGCCCACAGTTAGGGAGCATAGGGAGCAGTATTTCCCAGCCCACAGCCACCTTGCTCTCCAGGCCAGCCCTGCATACCCAGAAAATCAGAGCTGGCAGGGTCTTGCTTTGAAATATCCACAAATGTCCTTGTAGAAAAGGAGGCAGGACTCAACAGGAACATCAGGGTCTATCCRTTAATCTCCACTCAAGGTCAGTAAATCAGGATCAGTCTCCATCATGATTTAGAGTTTTGCTCTAAGGATGGATCCTGCCAATCCTGCTAATGGGAACACTTTCTGGTGTTCCTTTCTATAAACATGCAGAAAATGGGACTGTGTATTTCCTAACATAGATGAGGATGTTAAAGATCAAAGCAGATTTCAGCTGTACACACAGCAGGAAGATGCACTACTTCTGCCTTTTATTGCTTATTTTTAAGTTCTGCCAGATAACAGCTGTCACTATGCTGCAAATAGTTCTGGCCACAGTTCCACTACCTCTTACTTTTATTCAGTCAGGCTGTTAAAAATTAATGAAGTGGATACATTATTGATTCCAAGAGGGCACTTCATGTAGCATCCAAACTCAGGCGTCCCTCAGCACTGCTGGAGAAGGCTGTGGAGATGTAAGTGTACAATTTAAACCTGCATTTTGGAGAACGTGGAAAGCTTTCTCTTCAGATCCAGCACATACGGAGTGAAATAGCRAACTTTGAGAATGCTTTTGGAGAGAGGCAGGGGTGTTTTCATGATTTTTTTGTTTTTCTTTAAATAAAAAACTTGCCTTACAAAGGGCTCATTTTCAAGGATCTAATGTAGACATCATCAAGAGATGGAAATCTCCCACTGCTCCTGGCTGGATTGTGTAGGAAAGAAGGAGTCAATATTGTTTCCTAAGTTCCAGGAAGGATGCAAAGTTCACAAAGAGGAACTCGAGGAAGAAAAGAGCGTCGTGATATAATTAAGGGTAAATCAAAAGAATTTCTCACACAGCTAATGCAAGCTTTTATAAAGTGTGACCTTATTATATATATAAATACATATATATATTTATGTATCTTCTATATGACAGTTTTCTTCAATGACACAACTGCTGGAGTTTTGTCATATCCAGGTTGGATTCAACTTTTTAAAATATCACAGAGATGAAAGATCTCTGTGAGATAAAATGGTATAAAATGGCAAAGATAAAATGATATAAAAATGCAATAAAGCATCAGCGTACCAAAGTGGGCAGTAAGAGCATCCTCACAAGACGACGACTTGCAGACTTCATTCCTGTAACTGAAGCAGGTAGGGGAAAGGAGACTCTTGTTCTGTTAGAAGGGGATCCATCCAGGCCACAGATGTGACCCAGCTGCACCATCAGTTTTCAGTTGCTGCTAATTCTTTTGTTACACTGTGTTTATGAACAACAATATGAAGAGGCAGTTAAAAAACTGTTTAGCCCTCCAAGCACACACTTGCCCCTATCCCAGAATTAACACACCAAAACCCAGCGTCGTACTGTCACATGATAAAAGAATGATTTATTAGAGCAACTTTATGATAAAATTATATAAAATAACAATTTATTTTTTAAAGACATCCACAATATCACCTCAGAACAAAATGTACATATACTGCCTATAATCCAAATAAAAATAAATTACCATTAAAAAAAAAAAAAGAAAAAAATAAGGGTAGGAGAAACAAATCAAATTATACACAGCATTTTGCAGGGGGTGTGGAAAAGAGAAAGTCAATCAATCAACTGAAGTCATACAAACGTGTTTCAGCTTTACTCTCAGACAGCTCAGCTTGCATTTGTGTTGCATGCAAATGGAATGATCCAGTGAACAGTTCAGAACAGCAGAATCAGCAGCATAACAACAGCAGATAGTGAAATAGGCACAATTCAGCACAGGGCACATCGAAAGTGAACAGGTAGTTCTGTGTTTTTTGCAAAAATTATGCACATTTACTGAACTTCAAAAATAGCTAGTATGATCTGCAAATTCAAAGAAAAAACTAGTAGAATTTTATACTTAAATACTTCACTTTTTTTCAGTAGGTTGTATGTAAACATTCCACTAGTTTTGCCTTTACTAAAATTACTCACAGATGATGTAGACGATCTATTCTCCTGCAGCATGACCACAACATGACATTGCTGTAGATACATGGGTCCTTGCTCACAAAGCTTGTACACATTCTCTCGGGAATTTACATTCACTCCATCATAACCGAGTAACAAGTTTCTACATTTCAAAGAACTGAATTAAGAACATGGTTTTCAAGTATAATGGATGAACCAAGGACTGGGATTTTGGAAGGTGCTCAAGGCATCAGGCACCTGAATTGTACAGACAACCAAGAGGACCTGAACACCTGCTTTCCTCAAAGTTTGAAAATCCCACCCTTCATTACATTTCTTTAGTCAAATACAAAAAAAAAAAAAAAAATAACATGAAAGCAATAGGGTATGAGAATGACCCCCGGGTCAGTGCACCCTTAGCAAGCTCAAAGAAAAGCCCATCCTCAGCTCTCTGAAGCCAACAGGAATCCCATGCACTGAACCCAGGCCAACTAGATACACCACTGTGCAGCTACTACGGTCACACTGGAATCACAGAGAGGCATGTTTTCATCAGAGCATACAGCACTGCTCGTGAGAATAAGCAATGGATAAGGTGAATAAAGGAGTTATAATCACGTGGCTAGCTCTTTGGCTTATCTGGAGCAGACAAGTGCAAATGGGGTGTACTTCAGAAGCAGTGAATACGGAAAAAACGACTACATTTCACCACCAATTACTAGGACTGTTTTGAATGCAGAGATCCAAGCATGAATGCTGTGTCGGGACACAGAAGCATTTTATATTTTGGTTGAGTCATAAGTAAAACAAATCAAGATGTTCTCCCCCTACTCCACACATACTCTTTCAAAATTATTAACAGACACCAGCTGTTGCATCCCTATTAGTCATTTGTAGAGGTACCATATATTTTATGAGTTGATTTAATTGATGTAAGGTGTCTGTGGGCTCTCTCTCAAACTCAGAACAGAGGAATCAAGGAGGAAAATCCATTCCTGATGTGTCCATGTATGAAAAAAACACTCGAGCAATTTTCAAGTGAAAGTAAACAGAAGTCATCATGGACACACTGAAAAGAAACAAAATCCACTAGAGCATAGCCATGAAAATATGTAAGCAWGGTAACAAGTAATAATAAAAATCAGATGTCTTCAGAGTAATTATGTAATTAGTGTGTCTCTACGGAGAACTAAAACTAACTGCAATACCTTAATCTGTGAAGGTCCTTCAGCTCTCAGTGAGTTGGGGTAGCACCTGGTCGTATCAAACCCGAGTTGAGAAGGGCTCGAAAAAAGGGTGTATCGTCTACGTCAGGAACAATTCTACCACTTATGAGATTCATCAAGGACACGGTCAGGTATTTCAAGAAAAGACAGATCAGAATAGACAACTGAATGAACACCACATTCAGACAACTCACATATTACAGGTAGAGGAACGTATCAAGGATATATATGTTTTTTAATTCTGCAGAGTATGTTTAATGTTGTCRTCATCTATGTGAAATCCAGTAGATTTCTTCACAGAAGAGCATCTCTGCACAAGTAGATGAGGTTTATCACCTACTGGAACTCTTCAAAGGATATTTATACCTACTGTTTGCCAGCGAGCATCTTCCACACTTAAAAGAAACTAATGGCCTGTTGGCATATCCCATTTTGGGACTGATCCTGTCTCTGCTGAAATCAATAGAAAGCTTTCACTGGCTTCATCAGGAAAGAAATCACGCTCTTTGCTAGAAGATTAAAGTCTGTGTGAACATCCCTATATATTTAAATTATTTTAACTGGTTCCCACTTTTACAATATCCTAGCAAAAAAGCTCGGGTAACTACTGAAGCTAACTATAAAGCACCCCTTACCCATCCCAAAATGTGAAGCCAGCACACAAGAAGCAGTGAAGCTTAGGAAAGCATTTTCACTAGTTAAACGATACACTGTATAAGGGCAAAATGGAACTCATCTGCTCACCTTTCCAAATCCTCTGTAACTATGAAAGAAGATTAGTTTTCTTTACCTGATCATTTTTATTAACCAAGAAGAATGTTAAAGGAATCAATACAAGACGGGAARAACACCATACTGGGTGGAGCAAATGAATCTGGAAGAGGTCTCCTCAAAAACATTGTTTTTTTTCTTACAAAGAAGAAAAAACATTCTTACATTTTTCTTCTTCTCACAAAATTGCCTAGAATTTTGCAGCTCAACTGAAAGACAGAATACAAAATGCAACCTTTTTTTAAACAAGAAATTGCTCAGTGCAACTGCAAATAACCCTTAGTGTTCCTAAGATAACTGACCAAAAATCAAATTCAGACAAAAATCTCAAATGCACCAAGTGCCTTGACACTGTTGAACAGTTTCTGAAGAACACCAGAGGATGGCAGGTTTTCAAGCACATTTGCATTGAAAAGAAATGCATGACAGAACTAGCAGCAAAGGTGGAGCTACATTTAAGCYGTTCTTTTTAGAGTGCCATCAAGTGAACACTAGTTCACAGCAACTGTGCAATTAAGTCTATTATAGGAGCCATTGGAACAGATGCTTTTCTTAGCAATTAGCTGATCACAGACATCTTGGTCTTTGGCCCAGACAGGAGCATTTGTAGCTCACTGTGAAAATATTTGATATTAAAATGAAACAGAAAGCTTAAAGATGACAATTGTACCAAAATCATGAAAGTTTGGCAAGCTAAACTGCAAAATCTGATTTTTTGTACCTATACCTGAAACTTTGGGCCTGAAATATGGTTAAAAACAGTAACTGCATTAATATTTTTACATTCATACCATCATAGCTATCTTTTAACACTTTTCCAATGGAAAAACAAAGGGTTCTGTCTCATTTTGCTTTTTGGACTGAAAACACGATACACAACTTCAGTGTTGTCTCCTTTTCACAGACACCAAAAAGGATTTTTTTTTTTTTTTTACACAGCTGTAATAAGAGTTTCTCCTAGAAACCTGCTATATTGCACCACCATTCTGTTGGATTTGCACATTGATTCCAACAGAGTTGTAATGCTCCGCTTGTAAAATTAAAACAAATGAACAAAACCAAAGCAAATCTAGTGCCAAACAAAGTATTTCTTTTTTCTTTTTAAATCACACCTCATTACAATTGAATAATTATAAATAGGCTAATGCAAGAACACTTTTGTTTYGGCAGTACTGAATGGAGGGTAAAGCCTGTTTTCTTATGGCACTCTGGAAGAATAAGTTGAGTAACTTTCTAAATATCAGTTTGCCTCTCTGCTGAATGTGTGCTGCTCCACAGTGCTAGTCTTCTTTAAAAGGCATACACAGACTTTGCCATTCACCCTCACAGCATAGATTTCTTTTTTTTTTGTGCAATGTGTTAGCAATCTAAACAACTGCTCCACACAACTGTCCACAAATCACTCATACACAGTACTAATACAACAGTAGATTACAATAGGATAGCAATACAAAATACTGTATCAGATCACATATTTCTCTCCATCTGGAATGAAATTTGAATCCTGTAAGCTAGAAGAACCACAGTTCGATTTCTGTGCGTAGTTTCTCATCTGCGCTGGGGACAATGTCTCCAGTGTGGACCCAGAAGTGTTAGCAGTCCTGACTTTAGTGGCTGTAGATTGCTTAGCAGCAGAAGATGCTTTGTTACTGGCAACCACACCCAAGTTTCCAGTAGGGTCAATGACAGCATTTATGACTGGTGGAAAGAAAGGAAAAAGTAATTAAAAAAGACATATATACACATGCACACGTACTAGCAACACCCTGAAAAGTTTCAAAACAGAAGGTTTTCTGKCTTCCAAGCTGTACATGGTACTTGTGTTCACTTCAGTCACAGTATTTTTACTARTATCTTTAGATCTAAGCAACTTTAATAAGCAAAAACCTCTCCCAGACTGAAGTTATGATGACTTTAGGTTTTCTGATTAATTTGCATAAGAGGAACGACAGCAGCAAATACTCTTTAGCAAGAGGCTGGAATGATGCTTGTATTCTTTTTTCATATATCTAAGTTTCTTTATGATGCAAGAAGTCTCTACTGAGATTWTCTTGCCTTCCCTATTGCACCAAGCTCTAGGTACAGAATTCAGGTCAAAAACAGAAAGATTATTGATAATATTAAATATTATCTGAACTGGCAGAAAAGACCTTTGCCAGTTCATCTTATATAAATATGCTAATTATTCCAGAGTATATCCACAGAGTATCTCCACAGCAATTTTTGAAAAGTCAACAATTTCTCTTAAAAGTTGGCAGCAAAGGAAAAATCTGCTGTTCCTTCCATTTACGTATGTAAGAGAGCTCTATACAAACAAACTGAATTACTGCATCCTTTCTATCTCGGTTCTCACCGGCAAATCAAGTCCACAATATTTGGTACAATTTACTGTCACTTATGAGACAAAAGGAACATTTAAAGTAACCAACCTTCAAGTTGTTTCTGAACTCTCCTGAGCTCCTTCAGGATAGAACTGATTTCCTAGGAAAAAAAAATGCATCAGAAGACAGTTAACTAACCAAGTATGCCACGAAGGTAGGAAAATACCTTTTCCAACTAAGTATATTCACATTCAGTTCCAAGTCTAACCAAGTTACTGTTTTATCGAAGAGTAAAAGCAAAGATAGTGTGTGTATATATATATATATATATATATATATATTTAGCTGGATTTGGTCAGCTTTCCTCATGATCTCTACTCTGCCTCATTTTCTTAAATGCTACTACATCACTCCTTTCACAACTATGATGCGTTTGCGATTTGAAATGCTGGCCAGCTATCTGGACATTAAGTGTTCAGAGGCTCCTCCACCCCCACTTAAGAAGAGATCCACACAGATATTTGCAGGCTTATCCTAGAGCAGGATATGAAGGTCATGAAGGTATCTCTGTAAAGTTGTGCAGTTCCTGCACAGTTATACATCTTCTTAACATCAAGTCAACTTGCTGAGTCCACTACTTATATTTTATTGTCATTTATGAGGATGGACAGTAGAGGGGTTATGAGATGACAAATGCCACCACTAGGGGAGGGAGATTTTTACTGCCCTGCTATCAAACTGCAACAGACAAAARCACCTAAACACTGATGAGAAACACCAGCCTATAACTACAATGTGTGAACAGTACTTGTAGAGGATGCTTTGAAGGACATTTAAATAAGACCTAATGCCTCTGAACTTGTACATCTGCTAAAGGACACTTCAAATTACAAAGGAAGAGCTTGGTGAAAGTGACAGCAATACAACTGTTTCTAATGGGAGGAACTCACCTGGTTTCTTCTTACAAGAGTAACAAAAAATGGCAGTTCAACACATGTAAAGGGACTTACAGTTTCAGAAATGGATTTGAGAAATGACAAAGCTTGTTATTTTGGTGAATTTCTTACAAGCATCAATGGGCATAAGCCCTTGATACATCACTGGGTCTCATGGTCTTACCTTGTTTGATGTTTTCAGAATTGGCACTTCATTTTCYGAGTTGATTTTGGCTTCCATCTCTTCCCAGGTCCTTTCTGAGTTCTGAAACAGAATCCTGCAGCACACACAGTGGAATAGGTCTTAAAAATCACCATCCAAAATCCGCTTGCTTAGAAATAAAAGACCTAGTTATCACAAGATCTGGCAACAAAGGAGATTAATGGATTAGCAACAGAACAAAAAGCCTTTCAGCTAATTAAGGAACAATCCAAAGTCCTTCTCCAAATCACAKTTTGTAGGGCAAAAGGAGACTTTGAGAAGTCTTCACAAGCTTTGGTGATCTGCAGTCTTTCTGAGAGCCTTGGGATAGGGAAGGAAAAGGGAGATAAYCCATCCACAAAAACACATTCTTCTTCCCACATGTGACACTTCTTAAAGGCAAAGTTAAGACRTCTTCACCCAAACAAGTGACAAAAGAGATCACAAATAATTATGTTACATCTCCTACAGAACACATATTATTCCCTCCATCTAGACTTCCTGCATTTAGACTATAATCCATTGTCATCTTGCAAAGTCTTATTTTCCACAAGCAACAAGTTTGTGATCTGCATTTCTTAAAAGARCTCAGCAGCAAGTGAGCTGTTCAGATCAGGGACAAAAATATTACTCACTTCATTTTTTCAGCTAGGTTTTCAGTATTTTCACGGATTGCATGGGATAACTGGGACACCGGGTTCAGCATCAGGTTGTCAAAGATTACCTAAAATATAAAAGAAGTTGGATAGAAAAATATTTTAGTAAAATTGGCATAAAAATGGATCATTTTAGACTAAAAATTCTCCATCAAAACATCTTTGTCATGGATCCCTGACAAAGTGATGATCCCTGACATCCCTTTTACAGGGATGATACGAGAAGTTTAAGGGAGATAAGAAGGCATGCCACTTTATTGCATCACTTTTGCAAAAAGATTAATATTAATCTGTTCAGACTGTTGTCTACAAAAGCATATGAAAAAGCAGAATTTTCTGTAAATATCTAAACATTTCTTCTACTAAAAAAGAAGAAAGAAAAAAAGGAGAAAAGGGAGCTGGTTAGGCCAAGGCACTCAGCCCTCAACTCATCACAAGTTCCAGCTTCTGCTGCTGCTCTGCAGACAGCTCCAGCTAGCATGGCCATGAAAGAAAATAAGGACCTTCTACTGATTAGGAAAAAACTACTCCCATACCAAGACTTTGACTTTGAGATGTTAAACCACTGGTGCTGCACATTTCAAAATTGAATCTTTTCTATATTTCTTAAAAAAAAAAAAAAAAAAAACACCCACTCAACAGCTTAGACCAGCTCTGATGTTGTGAATGTCTTCCCCATATAACTCAGGTTTTAGCAGAGTTTTACATAGGAAACCTCCAGGCAACTCTGAACTCTGGTTATAAGAGTGATTCTGTTCTTTCTTTTCTTTCTCTTTCTTTTGTTTCTTTTAAACACTTTACTTCTACAGCTGCAGCTACAAGTCAGGGTTCTCAAAAAGTGTACTTTGAGTCACTGCCTTTGGCAGCTTACAAAGAGCAGATGCACATACTGCAGCTTAGAGCAATGTCACACACGCTTAGAAAGCAAGGAAAGAAGTGCCTGCCTCCTCACGGTTCCTTGTCCTTGTTTTTCTTGAAGGATCCTCTTCTCTATTATCATTCATATTTTGGTCAAAATCCTTCAGTTCTACTGATCCYGGAGGCACTTTCTGGTAGTTCAGACTTGCTTCTGGAATGTGCTGCACCAACTTGGAAATAATGAGGAATGAGTCATTAAAAATTAGTAAGGATGGAGGCACACAGGCAGTCACTGCAGGTATTACAGATTGTCAGGCAAGCCCCAGAGGAACACTGATTCATTTAAGTCTTGTTCAGACAGGTATGGTTTCCTAAGCAAATCRTTGGACCCCAGTCCTGTAAATATCAATCCACTGGAGTCATCCCACAAAGCTCAATGGGGCTATTCCAGGTTTATAATTTTCAGTTTGCCTGTGTCTTTGTCTTTTCTGAATTTAGATTAAAACTCAGACAGGTCTTGATTTCCCATACTTTTTGTTTTAATATAATCAAGCTAAAAGATCAGCGTAACTTTAAAGTGACATTAAAATTAAGCAGAAACCATTTAGTAACACATGGAAGAGATGAAAATGCCATACAAAACCACTGATAATGCAAATAATAGAAAAAAACAGAAGAGACAGGACAACCACTTTGTTGGGGTTAACCAACAGACTGGAACTTTAGGAGAGGGCAAGGAAAGGAASAGCGACAAGACAGAGACACAAAATAATGGGATGGAAAGTGCACCTGAGATGGATATGCCAGCCGAAAAGATCTACGAGCAATCTGTGTTAAAACAGAAACAAAGAGATCAATGCTCCTGAGCGCCGTGACAGCAAGTTTCAAAGCAGGGGTGTYGTTATTAACTAACGGGGGGACATTCCCACGAGGGCCCTGGAGAGGAGCAGCACTCAGGTATCCCGGCACGCACCGAACCCCAGGCAGGCCTGCCGAGGTGGTCGGGCAGCTCCCCGGTTACTGGGGGAACCGGACCACGCTGGGTTAACCCCGACAGCCCTCGGAGSCACAGAAGGGGCCGCAGGCCCCGTGCGGAGGCAGCAGCACTGGGCTCCCAGGGCAGCACCAGGAGGAAGGCGGCAGTGCGCGGGTTAGCAGCAGGCGGGAGGCAGGAGACAGGACTCCGCAGGGCTGCCGCAGCCAGAGCCTTTACGTCCCATTTGGCTCCCTTTTTTAAGCTCCTTTTTGTGGACTGCTGAAGCGATTAGTAAGTTAGGCTGACTGCAGTGGTGGAAACGGTCGGAAGCGAATGGTAGCCAGGAGATATTCCTACGGTCTGGAAGTTCTCAGCACAACCAGAGAAAAGCTGTAAGAGCAGCATCGTTTCCATCATGACCAAGGCTTTAATACACAGCCTGATCCCTTCTCCTGCCTTCTGTTCTGTCACCCCTTAAGCATTTCCTCTTGTATCAACAGTCAAACTAAGTACCTTAAGCAACAACTTAAGAAATCTAACTCGGAGTGCAAGTTTTTGCCATATCACCTTAAAAAACACAAAAGAAAAGAAGATCAAACCAGAAGAATGCCATGCAAGTTACTCTATGTGCAACAGCTGATTTCTGCTGTTTGATGCTCAGCTTTGCAGAAATCTTGATCCTGTAAAACCTACGCATTCCAAGCCCAAAGCAACCCAAAGCAATCCATAACCTGGGGAAACAGCAGTCATGAAGGATTTGTTTTACCCTTGCTGAACACCTTTTGTTTTGTATTCAGTTCCATGTTCCAAGAATCTGTATTATTATATACTACACAGCTGAGGGCTACAGTAAACAAGAACACCCTGAACCTGCACTAGGGAACTTAAAACCTCCCTGGTTAACATCCAAGCCAACATTGGACCTGGAGGGACAAAACACAAAGAGCAAGACTTTAATTTAAGGCTCTATCTTAGCTTCTAAAAGTACACACAGTATTTGAATTCCATTACAAAAATTGGTTAAAAATTAAAAGAAATTTGTTTTGGATGAAAAATGCCATACTGAATACAGGTCCAAAGTGAAATTTATTCTTCAAAAGTGGTTTCAGTATCAGGTTTTGTTCTGCATTTTTTTCAATTTCACAGAATATAAACAAATATTTAGTAGTAAACAAAAAGTTTAAATAATCAAGAGTTAAAGGAATGGCATGCAGTGCTGCGTGTACCAGAGCTGTGTAAGGGAGATGGCCACACACAGCTTGTTCTTATATTTGTTACAAGTAAGCTAAATTTTATCCAATATTTCTCTTGCACTATTGTAGTAGGTGCTTCCCATCACTACTGCCCTTATAATAACAGACTCATCAAATTCACAGTGTTTGGCATAACACCCCATGATCCTCAGAGATTTCCTATGGGATTTCCCTTCATTGGGCTCAAAGCACTACGGTAACAGGGATTCAGCAAGCAGCACCAGAYGTGGATAAAGAAGAGGGGTTTCTCTCTCCACTGCCTTCGAGTATTATTCCCTGTTCCTTATTCTCTAGTCTACAGTCTGACATTACGGCTCCTAATCTGGCCTCATGGGCTCCTTCATTTATATCACTGTATGATCCCAATATCACACAGTGATGTAACTGATCACTGAGCCCCTGCTGCAGCACTGGGCACTGTCTGGACYTGGGCACGGAGCAAAGCACAGCCCAGCAATCCTGGTAACCCACTCAGTTGCCTTCCAAGCTCCTTGAATTCATCRTTTTCCACACTGTGAAAACACCCTCAGACATGTGTTTTTTAAATTATCTTTCCTCTGCATTGCCTAAAGGAGAAATATCTTACAGCAGGGATTTCTTTATGGCTTAGCTTCTAATTGYACTCCAAAAAAACAGTATGTCCCCTGCTCTGCTAGCAGGAAGCTGATGCTGAGCCTGGTCATGACTATGCCAGTTTAATTTGCAACTAAACAGGGTAGATTTATCACCGTAACTGCTCAAGATGAATAACAAAAAAAGGCAGTTTTGCAGGTGTGGGAACAAAGCAACAAATCTCTGTCTGAGAGCCTGGAGCTCTTGTGAAACACTTATGTTCCACAGGCTGAAACAAAACCAAACTGCCCCAGGGTAAAAACCCTCCCTGAAAAGGCCACAGCTGACCATGGTTTAACACATGGCACAGCTACAAGCACCTGCTCCTCTGGAAATCTCCCTAAACTGCTGCTCTGCACCTTCAATAAAGAGCACATTAAAACCACCGGGCCCCCAAACACTCTTGATTTGATCCTGTTTAGGACAGGATGGTTCCCCATCAACAGAGGGCCAAGAGGCCCATCTGAGCAGCAAATAAAAGAGCATAAGCAGCTTTGCATTAGCAGCTGGAGCCCACAGGTGACCCTGCAGCTTAGTTTGAGCTGCTAATGTCTGCTGGCCTCTGGGCTGCTGTGCTGGATAAGCCAAATGAAGAAATCACCTTCCCTCTCCATCGCAGCTGAGCCTGGGAGGAAGGCACGGCTCACCCGAAGGGCTGCACAGCCACAGCCACAAGGACGACTGACATTTGCTCTCAAGGAAACAGCTAATTCCCTTCATCCTTGCCCAGCTCTGCTGGCTGGAGAGCAAGGAGTCCTGCCCTGGCCCACTAACTCACAGATGGAGGGAAGTGATTCAAGAGACCTGTGCAATGAAGGACAGGGCACAAGTCCAGAATATAAGTCCAGGACACCCAGTGAGCACCTTGTTTAGCCAGAGGCTCTCCCGGAAGCCCTCACCGTGCCAGATGCACGGCATGCCAACCCATACCTTTACCTACCCTACAGACTTTCGGGACCAAGGTCTGATTAGAGCCCACCAAGCCCTGAGAAGACAAATCCAGCACTTTCACCCTATCCTGGCCCCATTGCTTCTCAGAGACATGGCAAGGATGCTGCGAGCAAGCCAGGCCTGCCCCAATACCCATATAGCCATGCTGAGGAAAAGGCTGCTCCYACCTCTTGCAAGGCTGCCTCAAGCACAAGGAAGGCAAAATAAACAGCACTGGAAGTAGCCTGCAGTCCATATTCCCGCTGAGAGTGTTTGGGGTCTTTGGAGAGGCAGGGAGAGGTGTTTCCTTAGCCCTGCAGTAACTGGGGATGCTGTCTGTTGGTCGGCCCCCGCAGCCCGGCCCCACGCGCTTGCAGGTACACAGAGGCTGAGATTTCTGCCGTGTGTGGTCTCACCTCTTCCCTCGCCGATATGGTGGAAGCAGGAGTGTTGGGCACCGAGCTGAGGGACGTGCTCGGGCCCGTCCCCGACGAGCTCTGCGAGTCCCCGTCTCCAGCAACGTCGTGAATCTCCCGAGCGAGGATGGCCACGTCCTTTACCAAGGTCTGGCTTAATCTGAAGCACAGAGCATGTGGGAGAGCCATTAGGACACACCACACAATGAGCCTTTTACTAATGTATTAAAAATAAAGACGATTCAAAGTAATGATTTGAAGAAGAGCAAATTCTCCACGCTACCAGGAAATACTGGAGACAGCCGATAAAGAAACTTATCTTAATTCTTTCCACATCCTTTGTTTTTTTCCTCCTGTATTAAATAGAACATGGCCACATTGTTTTCAGGAGACCTTTTTCTTTTTTCTCCCTTAAAAAGGGCATACATGGAAAATTAGATTCACCAAACCACCAGCATTTCTCCACTGTGCAAGTCCACAGACCTTAAAGAAATTAAGTGTGGTACACAACCAAACGGCTAGAGCTCACCTAAGAACAYCAACACTTTTTTCTTTATTAATAATAAAACTGTAAACACTCTAGTGTTTAYACTAGTAAAGACCTAGTTTTCAAAAACTGGGTCTTGAAACTGTGATTAAAATACTTTGTCCTACTTGTGGATTTTAAAGACCTATTTTTTCAAGCTGTGCTAGTAATAAAAAACTCCAAAACAAAACCCAGAGTAACTGCTGTGGTATTTTTTCTTTTCCAGGACCATTTCTTTAAAATTAATATTCCAGCTGACTAGCTTCAGCTGTAGACATTTTCTTCTTTAACTGGGGAAAAAGAAACAAACCACACACATATACACACACAAAAGAAGAACAAAGAAAACAATCCAGCAATGTAGCAAAACTGAGCTCATCAAAATGTATTCTTAGAAAGGGAATGGGTTACTGAACTAATTCAAAAGTATTTTGAACTGTCTGTATAAGGTGCCCCCCATCTGTGCTGGTTTCAGCTATAGCTGCCACCAAATACGGGGAACACATCCCTAAACCACTTGCTGCCTGTAAACAAGTGGCGTTTTCGCTTTTAGTCCCCACTGCTTTAAACCACTCCCAGTTAATTCGGGAGCAGCAAGGCGGATCAGAGCTGCAATCACGGAGCAGACTGCGTGCCTGGGTCCTGCAACGTGCCGAGCCAGACAAGTCTGATGCAATCGCTTATTTATAGCTGCTGTGACCGAGCACGCTCTCTGGGGACACCAGGAACCCCAAGGGACACCAGTGCTCCCCCCACACATGCTTCTCACAACATAGATAATGCAGCTTTGAAGGCTGGTGTATCTTCTAGCACCCTGCAAGCAATGCATGGGAAAGAGAAGCCCTTTTGCGATTAGGGCAGCAAGCGATACCTGCAACGTGGAGACGCTGACCAGCAGCAACCAGAAGGCAGCTTCTTAAACTGGAAAACACTTTGTGTGTGGCCAGCACAATGTAAGATCTGTGTTTCTGGAAGGCTGGCATAGAGCTGCTGGCATTAGAGATGTCAGACCTCAAATGCCACCCTTTTAAAAAGGAGAATTCATCTTCTTTACTGCTGCAGTCCTCCAAGCAAACACAAATACACAATAGGCCCTGTACCCACAGACCTCAAGCAAWGCAACAACTTGTTAACACACAGGGTTCAGACAGATTTTTCATGTTTGGATTCAACTGTACCAATCAAAGAGGTTCTTGCCCTGAGGCTCYGGGTTACTGCTCTCTCAGTGGCTTCTGGCAAAGTAGCTCCCACAGTTGATATATTCATTTAATCCAGTTGATTTTATCCGAAGGGAGTCAAGGACAGCTCCATGCACAGTAACTTCCCATAGAAAGTGATCACAAGCAGATATTGACAGTAACACCTTTTAACAGACTTAGCAGGGCTAGAAGGGGCTATTTATCCTCGAGTCCAACTGCAGAAACAATGACACAACTCAGTCTCCTTGCACTTTGCATATTGTACAGAGGACCATATGAACCTTCTCTAGCGAGAAAGTACCACCAGCACTGCCTGCTATGGCTATAAAGTCTCATGAAACACTTTCAAACCTGAAGATGGCATAGGGAGTAGGGAAAAACACAAAAAGAAAAGAGAATACCTTTCTTTCCACATCCACACCTGGCTTCGAGTTGAACACCATGAAAAACAACCCATTTTCAGTGCATGGGTTGATGCACAAGGCCYCACCTCACCTGGCTATTTCTGCTATCTCTGCAGTTTGTGCAATGAAGTTGTAGGGATCCGGATGATCATCAAAGTCTTCATCATCATCTGTTTCTCTGCTGTTGTGTTTCTGCTTGCTCAAGCCAGGACCACGTATCCTCGGTGTTTGTGTGGCTGTTGAAGTATGGGAGCGTTTGTGTTTAGGGGAGCTGTGATTTGAGCCATATTCTTCCTCCGAAGTAGAAGTGTAATCTGAACCCTGTGGTCGCCTCCTTGATGCTTATAAAAAATGAATTGGTTTCAGACCAAGGAAAGTAGCAAAGAAAAACTACAAAAGGGCAAAAAGGTAACACAACACTAGCCCAGGAATACAAAGAAAGGAGAGTTTCTGTGCAGATTTTAGGTTAAGCAACGCATTTGTCAAGAGTTTACCTCAAATCTAAACCATGCCTCTGCCATCCACTATACAAATTTGAAATGGGAAATTCCAGTGGAAAAGCAGGATGGTTTTTAACAATCTAATATATTAAATTATTGTCACACCTAGCTTTCCATGCACAGAAGCTCTGCATATAAGAAGAACACATTTCAGACTCCTCATAGTACCCACAGAAGTCCTTTTCTAAAKAGAGCCCATTTTTCAAGCCTGCAGACCCCTTACCAGTTAGCTGCAAGCACAAGCAAAAGGAACATTTTTCTGAGCAAAGCAGAGACTGTGGTGCTTGGCTCTCCTTGCAGGAGTCCACACGCTCATGTTCTCCTCCTGCCTCACAAGTCATCTTTAATGATATTCTACAGGGAAGCTTCTCATGTAACCCAAAGGGTCCTCACTGTATGGGAAGTACTGAGATATTCTAACAGCAAATCCCATATTTGAGAACTGGGCTCAGAGTTTGCTATCTCACTACGGATATTGCTTCATTCCCTTCTATTCTTTCCTGCACCAAACACAGAAGCAGCCAAGTTATTTAAAGTTATGATACTTCACTGTGTCACTAAGATTATTGTTAATGCTAAGACCCTGCAAGCAAATTAAGCCAGCATCATCAATCACACAAATAAAAATATTGAATTTGGCATAAAAGATATGGGTAGAAGCTACAGATGATTATCATATAGAGAAGATATTATTCCTAGACATTATTATTAGCTCTGTTACAGCTATTTAAAAGATATTGGCTCAGGATTAAAAAACTTACATGCAGAAGAAAAAAACTGGCTCATATTCTAGCTGCAAAATACACACACACTCTTTGTATGTATGTGTGTATATATTTATGTATGTATGTGTAAATATACACACATGTATATACATATACATACATATAACACTATATAATATATATTATATATAAAATAATATATGTTAYATATTAATAATATATATTACATAATACTAGGGTTTAGAATTAAGAGGTCATCCTGTCACTGAATAGGAATCTTAAGAGCCCAATTTCCCACTCCTGTATGCCAAGGGAAATCACAATAAAGTCATTCAAATTACACGGAGTGAACAAATCATGTACATTTAGGAGTGGGGGGAGACAGGCCCTTAGCTTTCAAAATTGGTAACTTGGATTACTTTGACATTCCAAGCATGTTTCACATCAAGTTACTTCAGATGATGTGACAATCCACTGGCATGTCCTGTCTCCTGGCCGGATAGCTCACTCCATCCCGCCGTTAGCGAGATTAACTTTCTCCCACTGTGACAGCTGGAAACTACATGGTTAGCTAAATGTTTTACGACATCCTTGAATAAATTTGGCCACATCTGCCTCCTTAGTCACAAGTTCTGAAGATCAAAATTTTTTATTGCATCATGCTCAAAAAATGTCTTCATAGCACAGATCATTAGTTAAGTTTATCCACGTTCCACTTTTGATGCAGGAAGGGAGCTGTATCTTCTTTATTCACAGCGTCTGCAATGTTAGTAGAGGAACATGCACCACACACTAGCTACAAGACTATGAAGTATTRAGCACACTAGTCCATTTACAGCTTGTGCAGGGTCCAGAATCCAATCAAGGAATTAGGAGGTTAGTATTTTAAGAGAAACCAGTTCAAAGAAAGGATTAGCATCTGCTGCTGCAACTACRCACATGGGAAGGTGTTAGCACATTGCTACAAAGCTCCGGAAATCAAAAACCAATTCATTTAAAACAAGAACTGGCCAACTTTTATTATTTTCCCCAAATTATTTAAAGTCTCTGGTCTAATAACAGGGAGGTGGAAACAGTACCTCCTGTCTGGAAATTTCTGATCACATTATTGCTTTGAATTTTCTATTGCTTAGTAAGRAAAAGTAATAGCAGCATGATCTCAGAGAAGGCAAGAGGAAAGACTACACATGTACTTTTAGCTTATTTACATTGTGATTTACATGCATATACAAATACATAAGAAAAAAAATTAAAATAAAAGAGAAGTTGGATGAGCTAAAACAATCCAAATTAAGACAAGCAGCAATTAACATTTTTAGCATGCAATAAAAATCAATAGCGAAGGATAACTATTTCAAGTATGGAAACTATTTTTCTTTTTTTTAATTTGAGGTAATTATTTCAAGCATGAAAGTATATGAAAATGACACTTCCAGTACTCTAGGATCCCTTATAAAAATCACCAATCAGCTGAAAACTGTGTCTATCCCAAGAGGCCTGTCAAAATCTGCCAAAGGAATTCTTCCCATCCCCTTGACCCTCCTGCCATTCCTAACAACTCAAGCAGATAGAATTTGACTTTGTCTGGCAGGTCAAGGAGCCAGGACAGACCAGCCCAAAGGTATTAGCCATGTCCTGGGCAGTATCTGATTTCCAGCAACATACTAGAGCTGTTACGTTGTCCCCATCTCTTAAATAAAGAGATTGTTTCATTTCATTTGTATTTTAAACTTGCTGTCTTGGACATCAGCTATCATCAATACCAATGCAAGTTTTCTTGATGTCAATGGAGTCTTAAAAGTCAAGAGAAAAGCAGAACGGAATTGTAGCACTGGAAAAGAACAAATTCTACTTTTGTAACAAAAACAGTAAAAGGTTAATATTCTCGAGCCAAAAGGTAATCGCTTGCCCCCACAAAAAGAAAGGCATCTGAAGAGCTAAAAAAAAGAGATATTTGCAATAGCCTTGCAGACAGCCCAGTAACATCTCCCTGGTGCTTTGCTGTCTCCAAACCCCACTACCCATGAAATATCCCCCTGTGACTTTCTCAACCCATTTGCATTAATGCAGACCTTTCCCTCCCTCTCTCCGCACAGTCTCCTTGCCCCCTTCCCATCCCATACTCGTCAGCTCAGCCCTTTAATCACCTGGACATCAATCCTTGGCAATCACGTGCAGCCTACAAACTGGAACCAGGGCAAGATGGGGGGACATAAAGCACAGGCACTTACTGGAAGAGGAGGAATACTTGACGCTGCTGGAGCGGGTTCTGCTGAAGGGCTGCTTGGCCGAGGCAGCGGCGGCCGTTTTCCTGGCCGCGGCTCTCACCTCCGAAACCGCCGTTTTCCGGTAGGCATCCACGCTGCGGCCCGAGAACCCCGTCCTGGGCTGCGCCGTTTCGGAGTCGCTGGGCACCGTAAAGGAACCGGCCCGTTTCCTCGGCATGGCGAGGATGTCGAGCCGGGAAAGCTTTTTGGTCTCCATGGATTGCTTGGCCCCTGTGGGCGCGTCGGGGTTGGAAGTTGTTTTCTCCGTGTCGRCGCCCTCGTTGTCCGAAGTGTCTCCCAGCCGGGCACGACGCAGCTTGGAGGCCCTCGTGGGCCGTGGGGTGGATAAGCTGTTGGAGCGCGTGAGGACCTGCTGGATCTTCTGCACGTTTGATGTCGTTTTGCTCTGATCCTCTTTAGCAGCTTGGGCGAAAGGCTTCCTTCTTGGAACTGGCCGGGCTACTGAGTGCTCGTGGTCGGAGGCCACGGCCTCGGGGACCGGCAGGTAGGGCAGGCTCGAGCTTCTCTCATCGTCTGTGAAATCGAGGGACCCTCGCGCCCCGGCACTGCGCTTCATTTGGAAGCGTTTGGTTGCCTCTACCCKGCTCGCTGCCTCCGGCACTTGCGTCTTCCGCTTTTCCGTCAGCCGCTCCCGAGCGCTGGGCTGCCCACACTGGTCCTGGATGGACGGCGTGGAGGAGGATTTCTCCTTCTGCAAACCCGCGACCGCTTTGCGTTTCGGGGCACTCGTGGGGACGTTTTTGCCGCTCACCAAGCTGACCGTGCTGGCTGTGTCCACATCAGAGTCCCCCGACAAGGAGTCCTCCAACTGACCAGCAGTATCCGAGGACTCCAGCTGCTGGCTTTGACCAAGCAACTTGGCTTCCAGCGCTGCCAAGGCAGTTTCAGTGTCCTTGAGGAGAAGATGAGTGTCCTGACCGAAGTCCATACGTGTTGACCGAACAGCCTCTAAATCTTTGAGCAGAGGGTGACTTGAAATATGTGGAAGTTTATTTTGAGGAACGGCACTGCTTGATTTATCTTTGGTAAAACTTTCCTGTCTGACAAAAGATGACGTTTCCTTTCCTGCTACGTTCTCCTGGTCTTGAGGAAGATTCTGATGAAGGGAAATAACCATTTTTCCTGCTGCATTAATGTAAGCGTTTACATCTTTGACTGGTGGCTTTCCAGAAACAGGTGCAACAGTAGCCTTGAAGGAAAACTCCTGCTCCTTGCCTTCCTTGTCTGCTCGAGCATGGGACATGCTCAGGGAGAGCTTGGAAGGGATCCCCACATCGTTGCTGTCATCACCAATGTAGAAAGAAGCAGCAACTGGCTCGCTCACAGCTCTCACATTTGTGACTCGGGGGGCTCCTGGCTGCCGGGTCTCAATTTTTGTATCCTCCCCCATCTGCTCTAGCATTTTATTGTTCTCTTTRTATTTCCTGCCTTTTTCTGTAGTGAAGCCATCATCGGATCTGCTGGCATCACTGAGGCTGTCTGGATCCAAGTCTTCTTGGATGAAAAGCTGGCCGTTGGGATCGCCGTAGGCTTCCACRCAGTGATCCTTTACGACACTTCTCTTTGTAACCTCCGTGTAGGACTCCTGACAAACCAGAACCGTAGGCGTGGGGCTGTCCGATTTGTCGCTTGGTGGGAGTTGGGGAAGGAGGCGCCTGGTTCTCGAGGGCACGATATTCTCTGGCTCCCCGGGTTTTGGGGCTACACCACTTTCTGAAGACAGTTAAACAGACACTCATCAAATGTTGTACAACAATATATCACTTAATAAAGGCTTGATCTTGCAAAGCGTGAGTCCACAAAAGCATTTATACAGCACATGCTTAAAATTAAGCTTGTGTTTAGTATGAACACCAACAAGATCAAGCTTTTGCTAAGTCTCTGCCAGCATATACCAGCACATATGCTTAAAACAACGGTATCTAATCCCTTTGCAGGATCATTGTCCTCAGCATCTTCCATCCTGCCTTGACAGTCTCACATMATCTACCCTTCAGTACAATTACATACATTTAGAGACTGTGCTACCAGTCTGCCAGCATTAATTTACCATAGATCAGACCACAGGAAGGAGATAAAGATCCATCAGCCAAACCACTATGGAGATGCAATACTCTACCCACTGTAGCCCATTTCACTAAATGGATAGCATTTTTCACAGCACAACTTCCTGTATGATCATATCCCACAGCAAAGCCTCAGGAGAAACACCCAAACAATGAAGCAATTTTGAATTAGAGCTCGCTGCCTCAGCACRGGCAGACTTGTCATAAGGAGACACCCCACAAAAAGAGTGTTTTTTCTCCCGTGCCTTTGGTCAGGACTTCGTATCTGCTGTCACCTATAATTACCAGGGACGACTAGTTATTTGACAAAGGTAACATTTCAAATGCTGTGAAAGTCAGAGTCTTGCACAGGGTGAAAACTGTGGAAGTAATATCTGAAACAAAGGTATCTTTAACTCAATTGATCTATTTAATTGATCTAAAGCCAAAGCACTGTTCACCCCTTCTTATGTTTCTACAGGATTTGGGAAGTTTGGAAGCTGCTTTCCTAGCTGTGATGTGGGCCTGCTTCCCCTCACTTCCTCACTCTACTTCACACCCAGGTTTCTATGCTGATTTCTGTACTTCAAATCTACCAGCAGATCCCCAAACTGCCTAAAAACCTCAGCAAAGTCAGACACAAGAGAAGCACATAAACACCCTGCTACCAAGTGCCAGTCTGCAACTTTTTCCAAGACAAGTGGAAAAAGTTTTTTTTTTTTTTTTTTTTTTTTTTTTTTTCTGGCACCGTAATGCAGTCTAAAGAATCACACTGGGAAAATCATTCCCAAGGCCCTTACAATCTTTCTGCTTCCCATTGGCCCTTTAGTCAGGTCAAAGGCAGCGCTGAAGAACTTTGTGGATGACTCTGAAATGCAAACCAGAAGCTCTCTCGATCTTTGTTCAGGATTCATCTTTCATACTCCTCCACTAGGAATTCACCCTGTCCTTCCCACCCCCAAATACATTAGCTAAAATGGAAAACAAGCTACAGACAGATATATCCGTCTTTTCGTAACAGCTCAGTTTAGATTCACCAGCCTTCAAAAGGTAACATTTGGATGAGACTTACCTGCACCACCATCACCCTGCCCAGAAACAGATCCAGAATCAGAGTAACTGTCTGCAAGGCTCGCCCACCTCGACACCCACTTCTGACTCCCTTGAGACGCCGCTGACATCTACAAGAAATCGAGGGAGGCAGCTTTATAAAGTCAGTTTTTGAAGCACATCAAAATTCACCACCTAATCTTTCTTCTCATACAACCATCACTCRGTCTCCTCAAAATGGAAATCAGTTCGTGCACCACATTCCTTCCAGACAGAAAACCCACCTACACTTCTACCATCCCATCAAATCCACCGGGACTGCTCATACCTGCGTTTCAGCCTGAGACCCACTCATAGTTTTTGAGGCGAATGCCTGAAGCAAGGGCGGCTTCTGACTAGTGCCATTTTCACTGATTAGATGTTGATGAGAACCAGCATCGTCTTTTTCACCTTTTATTACTGGCCTAAAGGCTGAAGATATCCTGGAAAACTCGGGTGACTCGAGAACACCAAAAACCTGTAAGAGTCGTTGCACAGGAAAAATTAAGAAAAAAAAAAGTAATAGCTTAAAATCCAAATTCACAAAACATTAGTCACATGCAAAGTCTGTTCTCAAATGGCAAGAGACACATGCTAATCCTCCCATAAAAATTAAATATATCATTATTCTCTGCTACTCTTTAGTAGCAGGAAAATATAGACATAGGACTTCACTCACACCCACCTTTTCTCCCTCCCTTGTCATTTCACTGCTCTGCCTTTAATAGCAGCRACTTTCATAGACGGAAGCCCTGAGAAATTTAGGATGATTGTCATTAAAGTGCTCTGCCAGCTAATTAGCTAATTCATGGAGAACTAAATTAAAAAAAGAGAAGAATACATCTTTGTCAGGGGGCTGACAAAGGGAACACTGTTCTGCCATGTAAAGACCTGTGGAACGATTCACCTCTGAAGCAGCTGAGTGTTTGAGCTAGCTGGCGAGATTCCCCCTGGAGATAAACAGGCTCTGTTGCAGGGATGAACACAGCCCGTGCCTCAGGAGGGCTCATTTTGCTTCCTTGACCAAAAATACTTCAGAGAGGGTGCTACCACAGAAGGTTCTTAGAATCAGGCAGAAGAGGCCACTCCAGAGCCCGCTCTCACTTTTACTACGTGATGAGACGTGCATGTGTGGCAGGGGGACAGCAAAGTCACGCCAGTAAAGCTGGAATTATTGTTTTACGTCCTGGACAGAGAAACTGAGGCCCACTTATAAGTTATCTCCCAAGTATTAGGTCTCCATCTCACTAAGTCTACAGCAGAATCAGGGCCTGAGCTTGGTCTGCTTGCCTGTCAGGACTATCTCCACTCCTCAGAAATAATAGTGCTTTGTGCTATCTTCTCATATTCTCCTATCAGAGCAATTAACTGCCTCATGTCAGGATTAGGAGCTATCTTTGGCTTAAACACAAAGGTGACCCTGCCCTGCAAGCTTCCGATCATGTCTCAAGTAAGATGCCAAGAACAAGTGTAATAAATAAATGAAAGAAGCCTGATCTGTGTGGGCAGACCACACCGCTYTAAAGCCATATTCAATTAAGGCTTCCTTTAAAGCTCACCCTCCTTCCTACACTCACACTAAGTCTTCATAGCAACTTGCCAGTTCTGTTTTCATAATAAACAGATGAAAGTTAAACCTGAAAGTCATCCAAATTCGGTTTGCCTTGGGGATGTTTAGTCAAGTGGGTATTTCTAAGCCTCTCCTAGATCTATTTTTTCGGCTATTGTTCACTTTACAAAAAACAAATGAGTACAGATCCCTCTAGCATTGCCTCTGCCCCAGACCACTCCCTTTGCTATCTGGACTAGCTGGCACTTGCCTTGCCAGCCCTACCTTTCTAACAAAGCAAAACCAAACACAGAACCACCTACCTCTACCGGCTTGTGAATGATAASGACAACCAGCCCTCGGCCTGCGTTTCTGTGAGCCTAGCCCGGGATGCAGCTCCCGTTTCGGAGCGGCAGCAGGAGGTGTGAGCAGTCCTGGAGCACAGAGCTGCTCTCTTCCACAGCTCTCGACAGCATCAGCCCCATCTTTACCCTGAGCTTGCTGTTGCCTTTCTCTCTAACATATAGCAAGACTTGAGATTTTGCATGCAAATCCTGTTTTGGTGGCAAAGTGGCCTTTTTTTGCAAGGGTTTTGCACGGGTTACCTTGCCTGCTTGCACTTGGTGGGCTTTTTGTTTGCTTGTGGTTCTATTTTGTTTGTTTATACCTTCACACCCACCCCCAATATATATCAGCTCGGACACTTTCCCATTCCTAAATATACAACCCCTCTGCACCCAGCTCGAAAGGGAGCAGGCTTTGATGGCAACAGCTAGTGAAGCTGGGTTACTGCAGCTTGTGCTGAAGGGCCCAAGCCTTCAGTCCTCAACTTGTCAGCCAGCTCAGAAAAGTGACGTTTACCTGATCTATCATTTTTCGTGCTTCCTCCACCTCTTTATCCTGTGACTCTGTCTCGATGGTGTAAGTGCCCGTCTCACTCACGCTGTCCTCCTCATCGTTCCTCCTGGTCTGGGCTGACTTCACCTCGGGAGGTGGAGCAGTGGCCGATTCTGGTTCTGATGATATAACCACTCGGGGAGCTACGGGCATGGGCAGAGGTACTGGTTTCTCAGCACTTGGCTTCCCAGACTGAGCAGTCTCACGCAGATACTCAGCCATAAAATCCTGAGCCATTTTAGACTTCCTCCCAACGCTCCCATAAGTTCTGGCTGACGATTTGGAAGTGGAGGAGGAAGAGTTGATCCTATCTTCAGTCTTCTCTCTCTTGAAGGAACCAGTTCTTTGGGCTCCAGAGGAGCTGTTGGCCGGTTTTCCCGCCTGAGCCCCAAGGTGGGATGAGGGCGCTGCATTTCCCGGCTTCTCCGCGGGCACCGCGTTCTTGCGCTTTTCAACCTTGCCCTTGAGCCCCGGGTCGGTGTCGCTCTGGGAGGAGTGAGCGCTGTGCGTGAAGGACTGCGAGCGCTTCTTCCGTGGCGTGTCCTCGAAGAACTCGATGACGAAGGCCTGCTTGTTGTGGAGCATCTCGTGGGGATCGCGCCTCATCTGGCGCTGCAGCCGCGTTTGCTCTGCGGCGCGTTCACTGCCCGTCGCCGACTCCTTTTCTGCCTTGGGCGCCACAGGGTCTTCGGAGTCGCTCTGTGTCCCGTCCTCGTGTCTATTGCCTGCAAATAAGTTGCACAGATCTCATATTCATGTTCTCAGTTGCTGAGGCCCTAGCTTTAACTTGCAGCTGGAACGTATTTATTTTTAGTTAAAAGGCATTTCTACCATGCTAACAGGACGGTGTCAGATCAGGTGAAAAGAGGAGAGGCTTACYGACACCTCACCTTGCACAACTCACTGGCTACCAACTTATTAAAAACAACTTCAGAAATCATTTTAACCTTCTGGGGTTTTGATTTTTTAACATTGATCATCTTAGACACCTGATGTCTTGTTTCTTTCTTGCCATTTAAATAAAAACAAAGACATTATTTTGCTCTTCTACTCAATCACCCCCATTTAGGAGCACGTATTCTCTTCGTTTCAGAGCAGAAAATTCCCTTGTAGAACTGAAGTAAAAAAAAAAAAAAAAAAACCCCACATGATGAAAAAGTCCAATGATCAATGCATCCATTTTATCCTCCTCTACAAGAGGGCATAAAACAAGAGCTAACAGAAAAGTGAACTTGCAGGATTCTTTATTTTTCCCRAGTATTTAGAGTTACACCATAACACCCCAAGAGTCACACCATCCTACCACCAGCTGAGCGAAAGGTTAAATAATTACTCAGAATTAACTAAAAATAAGCTTGAGTTAATTTTCACTTATCTTAGAGAGAAACATCAGCATAACCTTTGCTTTCCACCTGTGATGCTCTGCCCCTTAAGATSTTAGCTCGGGGCTTTCAGAAGGAGAGGCAGTTAAAGTAAAACAAACAGGAAAACAAACCTTTTTTTGGAGAAGGAAACAGGTGTGAAGGCACACAACACGACTCAGCCAACGACTGGGAACCTGTCATCGGGAGAACGGGGAAAGAGGTCTCTGCGCTCTAGACTGTAACATGCAGGAATATATACTGGCTAAAACACCACGTGTTTGAAAGGGGAACTGCTCAAACCTACTTTGCAAGTTCTCCAGACACAAGGGTGAAGACCATTTATTACCTCAAGTTAGCTGTGAAAGATGGGAATTTAACACAAGAACCATTCAAACCCAGGAGCCAGGCCTCTGAAGAGTTTCCTAACACCCTCCTGAAGAAAGCCAGTTGGCTTTGCATTGTGCCCTAAAGGCTGMTAAGCCCCATCCTTGCCAGGGAAAGTTCTTAGATTAAAGGGTCATGGCTGAGAGCTCTCTTGGATGTAAAATGGTGAGGATGCAAGGAAAAGGACCTGCTACGCTGACAAATATCCCTGCAGAACACCACGTCCTTCTCAAAKGGCTAGGGCACAACTCTCTAGTCTGGATACCAGGCTTTATGTTCACCATGTTGTTCCTAGCGAACAAATGTTACTMAGGAACCACCACGGAGGGCCTCTCAGCACTCCTGAAGACTCAAAGCTGGTTGGCAGCCAGCTGGAGCCTCCAAGACATCTTCAAAAATTGCCCCACAGGAAGAACACGTTACACAGCTATCCAGACTGTCGCAGATAAATGACATGCTGTCCTCTGCCAAAGAGAAGGTGGATAAACACCCAGAGCCACCAGCACTGTAATTCTTTTTTTGAGTCTATTTACTCAAATGACCAAAGAGTTGATTTTCTGATATGCTAATAAAATATCTCAATTTCTTTCAAAGTCTCATGGACAGTAAAGAGCAAATGCAGTCTAGTGCTCTCTCTAGGATGAGCAGCAGGATGAGTATCAGTAGCCAGCTCTTTAGTAGTTCTGCACTGTTCTTTTAGAGAAAATTAAGTCATATTTTATTCCCTACAGACAAGGCTCTCTAGCAAGTCAACAGAAGTCCAGTATCTCAATGATAAAAATGAAAACAAAACCTACCATCTACTGAAAAGAAGACCTTAAATAACCCGGCAGGACAGCTCAGTGGTGACAAAAGAGTTCAATTTCTATGTCATGCCAAACCCCAGGGCTGGAAATGCTAGACCTTCTTGACCATAGAGGCTTCTCAGAAACTGCACACAAAACAGCAAGTTGGAAGCATAATAGGTAAAATTCCTTATATTTAAAAGGAGGATTTCTCCAACAATGACTGAGCAAATACTGAGGACAATTAAAGTAGTGATCTCTTTTAAAAATGTGTTATACTCAAGCACAGGTGAGTCAGTAACCTTCAATATGACTTCGTCAGTCAATGGCCCAGTTTGAAACGACAGCTTCTGCAGGACCTCTGAATACAAAGGCGGCGAGAATTCAGGAAGCAGCGATCTTTCTCTAGTTGTACAGCGCTTGCTCCAAGAAAGGCTTCCAAGCAAACCTGGATCTTGCAAAATGTTTGCAAAAGCCCAAGAAAGAATCACTGTTCCCACCAGCTGTCTAAGCACAAAGCTCCAAACTACACTTCACACTTTTGAAAATCTCTAACACATTCCTCCAAGGTCTGTGTAACAAGTCTGTAAAATCTGGAGTTGTTGAATGCAGCAGGAATTCAGAGAAGCTTCAAGAGAAGGAGCCTTTTTTTCCATAAGCATAACTACTTATTTCACTGGTGACCATGCACATCTCCACTATGTCACCAGTTTCCATCTCAAAAGCTCTGTTTTCAATCTAAGAGGCTCTAGTTATGACAGCAGCAGCTAACCACAATTAGAATCTTTTACACTACATCTAAAGAGCAAAAGTCATTCCTTCGGGTAACAGAAGCCAAGAGAAGAAAATCCACTGGTATACGTCTGTTTATCAGTCTGCCTGACCACAYGAAGGTCATTTCAGATATGTAATAATCAAAATCCCTTCTTTCCCAAGCAACATTATTGCCAAGATGGTGTTACAGATGTGGAGCAACCAGTCTGTCCCTAGGCCAGTATGAAATACAGCTTCAGGGTGGGACAAAAAGCCTGCTAAGCAGGTTCAAAGCCATTAACAGTCACTAAAAAAAAAAAAAAAAAATTAAAAAAAACCCCTTCATTTTGCAAATTTGGGATAGAGACTGACTGCAATTTTCCTCGATAGAAGAAGGGCTTCTGTCTTTATTATGATGCTGTGACACAGCCAACAGAAAACTCTGTCCACATGACATGACATTCACTCACCTTTAAGCGTCCTCACGTGAACTGGCAGGTCACTCTTTGTGCTGAACACATCATCTCCTGGAGACTGTCGTCTCATCAAGCTGGGGTCATTCTGGACAAGCCAGTCAGCCACTTTGCTCTCTGCTGACATCACTTCTGTGTGAGCGGGTTCCTTACCGAACGGTCTTCTCTGTCTGAGCGAAAATTTAGTTACATGATCTTTTATTTTTATTTTACCAGGGGTACAGTCGTCAAACTCAATGGTGAAAGAGGCATGACTTTGCACAACTGGGGTCACTATTGCATCAACATCCTTTGTGGGTATTTCGTGGACCTGTGTTTCTGGAGACTTTGATGGCTGCTGAAATTCTTTAGTTGGGATCTCAAAGTAACTTGGCTCTCTCCGGAACGCAAACACAGACTGTTCTTGGGAATCTCTATAAGCAGAAATGTTACCATTCAGCTCTTCTTCATGTTGCGTTATCTCTTTTGATCTTTCTACAGAAAAAACGCCGGAGGCAAAAAGAGTATTAAATTCACAGACAAACATTAGCTGAAGTTGCTGAAATGAATGGTGGCATTTTAAGGTTTCTGTCTGCCTGATGTGGACAAGAGATACTCTGCTTCATTTCACTGAATTCGCTTCCACTCGCACAGCTGCTCAGCCTTTTACAGTGTCATTTCACAGGAAAAACTCGAGTGTCCAAATTAATTATGTTTGTAGCAATGAGGTTTAATCCTTTAACATTAGCAAGGACACAATACATCCTAACACACTCTTGAAGTAGTACCCAAACCCCTTGGCCAGGTGGGTGATTTAACTTACTTCCATTTCTTGGCAAAGCTACAAGCTCATAACTCCTTCCTATCAGATACTCTGCACATGCATAGAAATTAAACATTGTTTCGTGCAGTAAAAAAATGTGTGTTCAACGGAAGCATCAAGTTTACTGCATAGATTCAAAGGAAAAAAAAAAGCACCTATCAAGTATATAGATTCACAATAATGGGAATAGAAAGGGTTTCAAAGATGATGATGTGAGAAATAGCAAACTTTCAGGTCAATCAAATCTGGTCAATGCATTTGTTCTTAACTTGCCTCTTAGATGAGAAGCTCCAGGGAGACAGGTACGCACTAYATAGATTAGTCACATGAGCTACATATGACCACATGCAGCACTGCTGTATAAAAAGGCCTCCAACAAGCTTGACAAGGCCTCTTCCATAGACACTAAATCAGTCCACGGCTGCAGTTTTTTAAAATTTTCACACATGTTAGGGGAAACATTTTATTTCCCAATGTTTTTTGTTTCACTGACAGCAATCTGCGCATAGCACTGTGCAGGTATGAGCACAAAAAGGCAGCAAATAAAGTCTTAGAGTAGGATGTATTTGCACAGCAAAATCAAAAGCACGCTGCATTTCTGCCCCCTCCCTAAGRGACGATCTGCATTACCTGAGTAGTGCTCCTCGTGTCTTCTGTCCTCCTTGTTATTTGCATCATCTTCCCCCCACCAGGAGGGCTGGCCATAAAGAGGGGTGCGATAAGTGTTGGTCTCTAGAAACAGGATAAACAAGGGTTTGGACATAGAAAACATCCATTTCCCAGACTGACTGAAGTTAAGCATGTCCCAACAGAAAAAAATAGTCAGATGAGTTGACACATCTCATTATAATAATCTCAAACCATATGCAACAATAATTATGTTCAATCTTAAAAAAAAAAAAATCTGCTAATAAGATGCTGATTCCGGCTTCATCCASTTTCTCTCATACCTGTGTTTCTTTCGTGACCTCCCTCCCTTTCCAGCCTAGTCACATTCACAGAAGGTGGGAGAGTGCTGCCCTTCCTGGCCCCACCACGTATCGATCTGAGAATTTTTTGCAACCTTTTATACCTTCCCCCTACATAATACACATAATACACATAATACACATCCATAATACACAAGGAATTTTTGAAATGCTAAAAACTGACGGAAAATGGTAAAACTATCTCCTTATACATACAGAAGATGCAAACACCTGCTCTCAAGATTACAGTCAAAGGAGGCAGGTTCTGGAGTCACTGTGGGACAGAGGATTTTCTCCTGGTGGAGATTCCTTTAAGATGCGACATATCAAAGATTTGCTCTGTTTGGAGAGCACTCGGAGGAAAATCACACTTCATCACAACAGGTACCCAAAGGAACCRATCCACTGGTTCTCATTTATCTCCCATGAAACAAGATTATATTTTAGGAATGCCTTGGGCTGCTGTTGTTTATATAAGAGGTAAAAGGAATACATCTCAATTTACCTGTGGCAGTAGCAGCTATTATTAAACTATTACAAAAACATAAGTGACGCAAACAAAACAGCTCGAGTCCCTTCACATTACGGTGGCAGTGACACAAACAGAAACCAGGGGCTCAGGCCAACACAAGACCACGTTCCTGTATCATTAGCACCAGTTTGTGCCATTAAACCACACGTTGCTTTGTTTGAAGGAGCCCTCAAAAGAGCCCTGCACTTCTGCAGTCCCCACTTTAATAAGGATACGACAGAGAACAGTTGTTAGAATGAAAAGGGGAATGAGAAGAGGAAGGGGAATTAAGTCAAAGACAAGAGAAGACCAAATTTACGTTGCTGTTTCTAACATGATACAAATCCAGTGACCACTATTTCATGTGTTTTATTTCCCTAGAACACTTCCATACATATATATATATATATATATATATATATATATATATATATATTAGTATGCTCACACATTCATACTCCACAGGCAAAAGTTTTGCTTTTGAGATTCAGCCCACTGGCCCTTTTCAGAGATGTTCTTCATGTTGCAAAATTAAATGCGCTGCCTCCCTTCACACTGACGATCAAAAGAGGCTGAAAACATTACTCCCTTCTGCCTAGAGTGCACAGAAGAGAAACTGTATTCCCATTATGTAGGTGGCCTTTGAAAGTTCAAAGGAGGAAGCGTTTCTCAACATGAATAAATCGGAATTGCCAAGCAATACATTTTGTAATTGTGGATGGGTAAACCACTTTAGGGGAAGAAAAAARGAAAAAAGAACTATTCAAAAGCTTGTCAGTGAAGAGAGGAACCCAAACATATCGTCWGCTAGGCTGAGATCATCTGTCATTCAGCCTAGCAGAAACTCATCACCTCCTCATCATCTACCCATGTACCAGGAGACACCTTTTAGGCAGGTGCTCCAACAGATCATTACTCTCTAAAGCACAACATTAATCTGGGGTCCATTGACAAATGTGAGTCAGGGCTGGGAGAAGGAGCCCAGGATCCCAGGGTTATGGCCAAATCCAGCACCAACCACATCCAAGCTAATCCACGGCTGAAGACCTTAGGCACACCATGAAGGGCTCAAACCTGAAGAGATCTTTGAGGTTCTGGAGGCTTGTCTCAGATTAACAAAAGCAAATCTGACAAATACATTAACGAGTAATTTTAGGTTGTGGATGGAATAAATATGACTCTTTGCATTCCATTTGTCAAACTGGGCTAAGACAGCACAGTGAGGGCATCTGTCCTGCAGGACAGCCCTCTTCCCAGCATCTTTTYCAGCCCCAAGAGCTGTGCTCCTCACACAAGACGTGAACTACAGGGATAAAAGCAGATGGAGAAACAAGTTCATCTCGGTCAAAGTTTCTGGCTGAATGGGAACTTCGCTATCGCAAGACCAGAAACCCAGGAGCCGCTGCAGTCAGCGCATCAGGACTGCAGAGCATGGGCCCAGGTAGGGACCACTAGGGTGGGAGGCCCCTTTAGAGGAGCCCCATGTGGCCCTCACCACAACAGAGGTCCCGTTGTGCCCTCCGACATGACCCGGGCTCCAAGGCTTCACCTGACACCGTCACAGTCACTGCACTATTCTTCATTCTCCCTCTCTCCCTGCCTCCACGATGAACCACAGCATAACTTTAAAGAACACAGAAAGTACAGATGGGAAGCTGAGGAGTCAATGTCTCTTGCTGTTTGGGGACACTTTCAGTGTTTTAAGAGCAATTCATGTTTCCACTTCAAATTAATTTGCATTTTGTGCAACAACTTTATCAAGTRACACAGATGCCTTAACTCTCACCTATTCCTGAAAGGGGCCTTACCTGCTGTAAGTTCTCCACAATTTCAGAAGAGCTACATGAATTTGCCGTCCTGCCCGAGACAGAAACTACAGCCCCTTCTTAYTTGTCAGCACATCTGACCCAGGGGCCTCTCCTCCTTCCAGTTCTTAACAAGACAATGCTGCTTAAAAAAAAATAAATAATAAAATGAAAAGCTGAAGAATGGAGCCAAAACAGATGGCTGGGACAGAAGCAGGCGAGGGAGCGGCCTCGTATGCAGCTGTGCCAGCAGATCCTGGGGGCTTTGCCCTCCACCAGCTGGGATGCGTTTTGGGCAGCAACCTCAGCCTGGACAGAGCAGCAGGTCTGCCCGTGTGCTGACATCYGCACGGCTCCGAGCCCAGACTGTCTGTTGTGTTTTATGGTGCACGCTAAGGGCTCCTGCAAACCCACAGAGACTCGGGGCTTGCCCGGGTCAGTGGCGAAGCACGGGACCCCCGTGACAACGAACCACTCGCTCATCCTAACGATACGAGGCTTCCTCCAAGTGATGGCAGCTCGTTACCACCTCTCCCGACTCCATGCCAGGCTGGCCAGATGGTGCCAATTCATTTAGACATATTTCTTGGCTCGTGAATTCAGGCAGACAGCCTGAAAAGCATCCTTGCAGAGAGCTGAATTGAGGTCAGTACAAGCGCTCAGCCAGATAAATACCACGCTAGCGGTGACAGTGTAATACAGGAAAAACTACTGACAGGCACACGGTCTGCTCCTGGGTTTCAGTGTTTGGGCAGTCATTCGAGGAAAGAAAAAAAAGAAAAAAAGGCGGCTGTTGTAGCACAGAACAGGGGAGGTCCATTTGTTTAACAAGTCTGACAAGAACACGGCCTGCTAAATTAATACAGGACTATCAATCACGGGAAGACACCACAAAGCAAGAAAATGAGATGTTTGAATACAAAGGGGGTTTATTTATGGAGAAGTGAATCCCACAACACGGGAGCGGGACCAAAAATGCAGGTACTGAAAGGAGGAGGAGATAGGCTGCGTTCATGCAGCTTTCCACGAGCAAGGGCTTTCCTGATGAACACGCAGCTCCGTCGCGGTGGGGTTTGATTTCCTTTGAAGGGCTCTCCCACCGGCTGCCTGGCCGGGACAGCACCGAGGGCTGCGCTTCCCCCGGCTCCTCATAGAGCTTCAAACACTCAGGAGAGGCACAGACAACAGTGGCACATTTCTCTGCTGACAGAGGCACACGCAGCTTTGAAGCCTGCTGCAGCAAGTCATTAACAGAAGCAGGAGAAAGCCAGCTCGCTTTAAGTCAAGCTGGTTTTGATTCATTATTAATAACACAAACGTCCATCTTCAGAAGATGCAGAGCAGGCTTCTTATGGCAGAGGCCTTGGGGAGAAAAACACAATCTAGCTTTAACGTTTTAAAACTAATTCCTGAAGTCTCTGGCTTCTTTCCTGCTCTCCCAAACAGACAATTCTAACCTAGCAGGAATAAACATAAAGCAGTTCTTTGGCTCTCCCCTGCAGTGTTTATTTTGTGTGTGTTGCAAACGTAARCTCTGGTCTCTCTTTTTTTTCCTTTTGTTTTTAGGTTGCTGTGAACACACACAAATCCTGCAGGCTTTCAAGGATGACTGATAATCTCAAATTCATTTGTATCAATTAAGTGGTCAAGCCTGCAGCTGAAGGTACCACCAAACTAGCTTGGATTAGAAGCAGATACACCACCACTAAGGCCTTAAATTAGAGGCCAGAGAAGAGCTGTGTGTCTAAGTAACTATTACCATGATCTCATGGGGAAAGCAGCCGAGGACCATGGAAACCACYCCACAACGAGGCACGAGTCCTGCTGCCTCCGTCCAAACTGCCCGCTGATCTCARCACCAGGCACCACTGAGACTTTCCACTGGGCCCTTCTGCTTAGGAGCTGCTTTATAGCTAGGCCTAGACTAAGCAGCGCGAGAGCCTGTTCCACAGAACCGGGCAGAAACGCAAGTCAAGCCCTTGCGTTTGATGATGCCCCATTTCAGCAGGAAGCTGTGGGCAGCCTCCACCCTTGGAAACTCAGGTCTGCAGTCCTGGGCAGATTTAGCATTATCTAGTGCCATCAGCCTGAGAGGGCTGGAAAAAAAAGAAAAAAAAAAAGTGTTTTTTTGTGGCCAGCCTGGGGATTAACTATGTACTGAGATTAGCAGGCCATAAAGTAGCCTAAGTCATTCAGTCCTCCAATCCAGGTAGCAGCAGATGGGGAACGTGACAGGGTCTTAAAAACTGCTCCGTGCAAGGCTGTACCTGGCCTTCTGATCACTTAAGACTTTGAACACTAGAGCTGATGGCTATTTTTGGCATCAGTTAGCTAAAATGTGAGCACTTTACTTATCCATCTCAACGTCTTACCTATAGATCTTACCAAATTCCTCTCCTGGGAAAACATTTCACAAAGGCTGATGTTTTTCTGCTTACAGGCAACGTACACCAAAAAGCTGCAAGCTCAGCAGCATAAAGAATAAGGGGCTTAGCTGTTTCAGTTCACTCTATTGGATGCTTTTATTCTCAGCCCTCACCACCTCCCTTTTCTAACCAGGTCTAATTGTTCACACTGTTTTGTTAGAACTCTTCCCTCCAAGCCTGCATTCCCTCTGCCTCTTTTCCAAGCGAGGGCTCTGGGAAGGGATCCTTCTGGAGGCCTTTGTCAAGCCAGCCCCTGCTTTAATTAGTCAATGCAAATTTCCAAATACCTACAGGCTTATTAGCAAGACAGCTCTCTCTCCAAAGCCTCTTTTTTCTACTCCCATGGAGCAAGCCTACCCCCCCGTAAGATACTACATCCCTAATCAGTTTAAACTGCTGCTGCTTCTCCAAGCCACGGAGGAAAGCTGTGCATGTGTGAGGCTGAACACAAGGTGAATTAGTCACGTGGCAGATGGAATAAGAACCCACTAATCTTTCTGCTCACGTGATGGAGACGCTTTCTGAAGAGGTTCAGACTCTTGCCTTGCTTCCACGGGCCTCAGTCCAGCTCTGCAAAATACCTCCAACAAAACAGCCTCAATTCCTCCATTTTCAGTGGGGTTGGCAGCATTTCACAGGAGGTTTTTCACATCTGGCTATTGCCACTGAAGGCACCTACTGCAGCACAGACACCCAGTAAATACGCACAGCCTCTTTTTACCTTCAACTTCTGGCCTTTGCCCGCTACCCATGACAAAAATGTACTGCCAGCGTCGGAACTACCATCAGAGAAATGGCTCATGATGCGGAAGGACTCAATGTCCAGACTTTGAAGCCGTTCCCAAATATCAACAACTTGTGCTATTAGGCAAAAGCTAACGAGTGCACATTTTGGAAAATGACAACAATGAAACCAAGGAAGTCCATGCAACAGAAGCAAACCGTTTCATCCGGAGYCTTGCAGACAGGTTTTTAGCAAGGCTTTCATGAACTCAGCACCCACTGCAGCGCAGCTGGGCAGTTCTCCTCCCAGGAAAGTTCACCTATTTTCACCCCCCATAATGTCACAGTTAATTATCACCAACTCTGTCCCTTCAGCCTGGGAGGTAAAGTCACAAACACCGCATGCACAAGCACATCTCAGGCATCACAAGAAAGGTTTTTTCACACAGGAAAGGGGAGTCAGGCAGGCAGATGTGTCTGCTCCCTCGCACAGCTGGAGGCAAGAACAACAAGGAGAGAGGCAAATGCACCAATGAGAATGATCACACTGCTTCAGTGCACTGCAGTGGCTCAGGGGGATTTTCACAAAGACAATAAATGGGAGATTAAGGTCAGTCAGCCCACACCAGYTAGAGACCAGAAAACCTTAACAGATTCACTCAAAGTTGAACACAATTCTAGAATGCTGCTGCATCCATTCCTAGGTCTCCCTCTGCTCTGCAGCACTGACTTGCTCTTTACTCACCCACCTCCTTACTTGTGGTCACCTTTGCAGGCAGGCAGTATAATTTAAAATTTTAATAAATTTAATAAATCTATTTTTTTTCAGCCACTCTACCATCATGGCACCAGAAAATTGCTTCTGGCAGCCCTTAACCACCAGGATGCTTTTAAACTGCCCTTGTTCCTCTCGTGTATGATCAAGCTGCAGAAGGCCACCAGCAGACACCGGAGCACAAACAGGAGGTGTGCTGGGTAACACACCCAGGAATAAAGACCCAGGAATTGGTCTTTAAAACAACAGAGCTACTGGACACAGCTGGACAACAGAAGGAATTTTTCAAAAGAGAAAGATTTACGGTAGGGAGTAATGAACCTGAAGCAAATCCTCCCAGTGTGGCAATCAGTATCAAACCCACACAATGATGTGTAAGGAAATACAGTAATTCAGGATCATCCCTTTTTTACTTTTTTCCTGAGCAAATCCCATGTTGCCTCTCTGTTGCCAGTACCATGCCCCAGCAGCCATGCCCCTTCCACTCTGAGTCACCACTGCTGTTCAAACACCAGCTCATGATTAGGAAATTAAAAATAGACCAGACAGGTGCCAAAGAACTAGCCAAACCTGCTCCACCCAGTAGTTCTCCTACATACACACCAGGCAAGCCTGAACTGTCATGCCAGCAAATTTTTTGGAGGCTGAATCTCTAAAACCAGATAGTCCAAAATACGAGAATCAGAGCTTTGGAAGGACAACGCTTCCATAAATGCTCCTAGAAGCAAACTGTGACACTGCACTACTGTTCTGACCCAGCACAGGGGCTGAGCAGCATGTGGCTGGCGCGAATCTTGATTAACTGGTTCCTGAGCAGGTACCTGAAACTGCTTTCCTCTCTCCTTTCTCCAGCTTGGCTTGCGGGGACTCGCTGTAGACTCCGTGCTCCAAGGACTGATCCGCCCTCTTCATTGCTGTGCCCTTGAAATTCATCTGCAGCTGGCTCGTGTACTTCTCATGCTGCAGAGACATAAGCAACAGCTTGCAGGGTGCCCACGGCTGCATGATAYCCCAGGAATCTCCCATTCCCACCCTGCGTCGCTGCAAGGACCATAGAAGAGCAAATGCCCTGGCAATGCTCTGTAACGAGAGGAAAATCCACCTGGGGGCTAGAGAAACACCAGCTGAAAGACTTTCAAATATCTCATTTGGAAAATATTAAGTGACAACCCTAGTCCATGAGAAGGGCATTGCAATTTAGCTCTGCAAAAGAGCTAATTAGGAAACGCGTTAAAGACTAAACTGAGAGCAATCTTTTCCATTCCAGATTCAAATCCTGAAATCCCCTTTGTTTTAAGGCAACATTATAAATTCTTTCAGGGCACTCATCTGCATTATCTCTATTTCTCTGTAAAGGCAATTAAAATATATTTTAACTATTTCCTTCCAAATTCTGTCCAGCTAGAAACATTATGCCTTAAAAAAGGCAACTTTGAGCATAGTACATGATTTAATTAAAAGTGGATTTTTTTACAGTGTGGATAATAACAACCAGGTGTACCCATCAAGATTATCTCACAGTAAATTCAATGAACCATTTATCCAATCCTATCTGTTATACTTCTGACCCTCTTGAAGTCCTAAAGGTGGAACCAGGGCTAAGAGGACAAGCACCTGCTGGCCAGCAAGCGATGTCTGGCACCTACAGCCTAATCCCTCGCTGTACAAGGAAAGCTTTCCTGGCCGGGGGTTTCTCTTCTGCCKCAGATAAGAGGATGCTGGAGTATTCTGTACCTGATCCTGAACTCTGTTTAAAAAACACCTTGCTGTTAACAGCAAAAAGCAAAGGAAACCTGGTATCTTGAAGACCAAAAYTAGGAATAAATCAAGCAGAGTTTAGCTAGCTGGAGGAAGCGTGATGGAGCTGACCTACATTACTACACTTGGAGAAAGGCATCCTTGCTTTGTTTCTGGGATAGAGTAAGTCATACTATGCTTTTACAAGAAGTTAATGTCTTCACTGTTTTTTAATACATTTCAGCTCTGGTAACCTTTGCTGGCAGCCTTGAAATTATAAATAACTTTGTCTAGATGTTAGCACAGGAATAAGAGATCAGAGCCAAGATAACTGGGAAACGTATCTCTCTCAAAGGAGGTTTCATTAAAGGAAAGTTTTGTTAAGTATCAGTCCAAGGAGAACCTAACATTGTAGATCTTTTCATTGCCTTCAAGTGTACTTAAATATTTCAAGCTAAACAACTATGCCCGGACAAACTTAAAAAGAAAAAAAGAAACAAACAAAACAAAGCAAAAAATTACATTTGCAAACCTTTACCTTTAACGCTTCTTCTGGGACCTTGTGTTGAATCTGCTCCAGGACATACATGTTTGAATGTACAGAACTTGTTAAGGAAACAGCAAAGGAATTGGATTCATAATGAAATCTATCCCCCAGTCACTAAATAAAACAAGATCTTAAAACTAGACAAGCTTAAAATACACGGGCACCACAAGTACCTGTCGTTGCACATTACTGTGGTCTTTGCTGCGCACATTTTGAAGCAGAGCCGGCGATCACATCTGCTGAGCAGACTCAGCACCACATGAAAAGCAGGGAAGGGGAAGCTCTGGGACAATCAGCAGCTTCATATGAGCCTGAGGAGCAACCCAAGGCAGGACTAAAGTCACTCCCCTCCATGCTGTTGTCAGCTCCATCCCCATAGCATCCTGGCCACAATCAGTGTCACATGCTCGGGATAAGGGAAGGGAAGAGAGCAGTTTCCTGCAGAGACAACAGCACCGCAGTGCTCTCTTGCCCTGACAAAGTCTATCAGTCACTACAGTTTCCTGGAATAAAAGTAGATCACACCATGAGCTGTTGTGACCTCTTAGACATTTGGTATGTTGGAGCATAGACAGCTGAGCAGGAAAAAGGAAAACATCTGGCAACGTCACCATGAACGACCCAATCAGGACTGCATAGAGCAAAGGGGGAAAAAAGAAACATGGAAAATGTTAAACTAAAAATAAACCAAGCGATAGTGGCATAGCAGAAGAACTCCACACAGTCTGCAAGCAAAACTGTAAATGGGAAGGAGACAAATGCTCTTATGCAAGAGAGGGCAGCTGGCGCCAAGGCACAGGAGATGCTGCCATCCACACAGTGCCGGGCAAGGTGGGCACAAAAAGCACTTCTGAAGAGAGGGGCACCAAAGAAGGGGAAGAGATTTTATCTTTATTCTCATGAAGATCCCGGTCCAAAGCTTTAATTCTCCTAAGTCTTCCTGTTGAGGGCAATAAATTTTCCAATTCATAAATGCAATCATTCATTTCACATGAATGTCCATGTAAGGACTGCAGGACTAGATGCTTTACTCAGCTGCTTAATGCTCAGAATTGTTTTCTATAAAAAGTTTAAACCTGTACCACAGCCATTAAAATCTACCCAAGCTCTAAGGCCTTATGCCTTAGCTAAGCTAGAATTTACAGCAAATCTACAAGTTTCCCTACATATGTAGGCTAGAAAATGCACAGCCAGCTACCTTAGAAGAAAGTTGTGAAGCTGCAAAGGCAAGAAAAGCTGGAACTCAGGTTGCCTGTGACTTCTGCACACTTCATCACGTGTGCACCGAGACCCATCTCTAAGGTGGCTTGTGCACATTTACTGGTCTGTAATCAGTAAGGGGCTATTCAGCATTTTTCCCCCCATCTGAATCTGAATCCTCATCAGCTGCACCCTATCCAAACCCACCTTGGAAGGTAAATAATCAGTCTCCTTTTCTCCTTTTCAGTCTCCTTTTTCTCCTTTTAATATTAATAATTGTTAATTATTGCCTATAAAATGGGAAGAACTGAAACTGAGAAATCAAGACCAAAAATATAATTTTATACAAGCTTTAGAAAAGCTTCTTCCCCAGGAGACTCCAAATTACTCACAGATCAGTAGAGGCATCACTATTATCAGCAGTGAGAAGCCCAGCACTATCGCAGGTTGGACCTGACATACCCAGATCCCTACAAGAGTACAAAGCAAATTCAATTGACAAATTCCCTCTCCTCACTARTTCAACTCTCTGACACTTCCAGCAAGCTCAGGAACGTTTCAAGGGCTACGGCATAGCCAAGCACACACGGATTATCATGGAGACAACAAAAGGTACAAGAATGTGGCCTTGGGGTCAAGGATGCACACGAGTTTTCCAAGCAATAATAGATTTCCTCCACCTCCTCCCCTCCCATGGTAAAATTTATTCCCTGACTCTATTCTCACAAATGTCTAGACTGTTTTAAAGGAAGTTTCTCACAAAAGAAAAGAAGAAACCTAGATTAGACACTATTTCTAAATTCAAATGTTTGGCAGTTGAAACCGTTATTCTGAAAATGATGATATTGAGCAAAAGCAGCTCTGCTTAACACTGTTGATAAACAGGCTCAGGAAAGCAGTTCAACATTTATGCTTACAGTCGGTCATATGGTCAGAGCAGGTTGAAAGAAAAGGGGTGAAGGTAAAGGTATTTAGCAGACTCTAGCAGTATTTGTAATTTTTTTAAATCAAAGCAGTAACAGCAGCAAGGCCTCCTCCTGAGAGAGGTCAAATTTGCTACTGCTAAACAGGAGTTGCTATTGCTCTTGCATTTTGTGGCAGAAGCAATTTGCAAGATTCAGCTTTAATTCATGAAAAGCCAACGGTCTGACTCCTAGCCCCAAAGCAAGATGTTTAATGATTAAGAACTGTGTGTTCAAATCACCTGCAAGAAAGCACTTGGGTGAACTGATTAAAAAAAATCATCATATAATAAAAATATGAAGACATTAGTGTCACAACGAAGTTTAAAATATTTTTCTTCCTCTGCTGCAAGCTACAGTTGCCACCCAGGAGTCAAAATAAACACCCTTAGTCCTTTGCCACGATTGGCGCTGTTAACTCTCCAGGCAGCTGACAGCACAAACCCTGACTAAAGGCTGCGTCTCATTGCATCCCAAACAAGAAGGATATCGTAGCCGAAGCGGATGACATCGTTCAGCTTTAGGGTGATGTACTTCTGGTCAGGAATCCTCACGTCATTCACAAACGTCTGCAAGGAAGAAGCACAGAAATGGTTTTCATGGAGACACATCTCAGAGGGTCAGGYCTGTGCAACCACCTGGAACACAGCTGGCACCATGAGCTGCACTGAACAGACCTCAAGGGAGGCTCATCTTTCTGCCACCTGCTAACTAAATTTTATTCCCCAATTTAAACAAGAAAATGAGGTGCCTGAAGTTAGGAACTTCAGATGCTCCTGGTTCTCGTTCTTCCTTCACAAACAGCAAGAACAGCAGAGGCTGTGGTAAAAAATAAAGCAACTCTTAATCCAGTTACCAAGTCCAGTCAAGCAAGACAGATCTTAGCCTCCAAGGCCTGACACTTCAACAAGCAAGGCCTTCCATGCAGGAGGACAACAAGTACTTGCAGTGGCATCACCATGATGTCTGATGCCACATTATCCAAGATACCATATACACGAGTACTGCAATAAAACCAAAGAATAGGCTCCTCATTCAAGGGTTTAACACAACACATCTCTTCCATGTCCCAGACAGTTAATTCAGACCCAAAGAAAATGAATTACCCTTATAAAGGTGCAGGAAATACACTCTACAAAATAAACTCTGCAAAAAAAGTACAATCATCTCAAATGCTTGTGCTCCAAGGGTATCCCTGAAGCAGCAGTTCTCAGAAGAACAGAAGAACAAAATGAGCACTTGTGGATAATTTTCACAAATAATCTCATTTGCTTCTGTAACAACTCAGGACAAATAGAAATAAACGGGCAGCTCGTGAAAGGACATGCAAGAAGGCTGACGGGCACTTGGCACCTAACTGCATCCTGGGCAAGAGCAGGGCCACTGCAGACACCAGGACCTATCCAACCCTGCAGGATGGGACTCAGTCTTTCAGACTAGGAAACCTCACAAGGGTTTTTAGTCTCAACACAGCTTTGAAGAAGCCAAAGTCACATTTCAGAATGAGCTAACACACTTTCATCACTGTGTCACACCTTTTCCCCGCCTCTCTCCTCACCAAATCAAACAGGTAAGACCAAGTATCAACAGCAGAAAAAAAAAATACTAGAATGGAAGGCTAGAACTCAGCAGAGTTCTTCCCAGAGCTTCCTGGCAATTTATAAGCCAGCTATTCTATAATTTGAGAATAAAAGCAATGAAGTTGGTTAAAATACATGTACTTCCTATTGTTGAAAATCTCCAAGCAAGAAATAAGAAAACATTTCTTTAATATAGAACACACTCATATTGGTCACAACAGCCTACTCCAACAGAAGTTTTTTTGACCATCTTTAGAAGACAGGCATTGTTGTAATTCCCTGTAATTCACTGTCCCTCAGAGCACAATTCTAATATTAAATGTTGTAAATTTGCACTCATTAGCTTTTGGGAAAGAAAAAAAAAAAGAGTGGTGATATGGGGCTTCTCTTTCTGAAAGCAGAATTTAAAGCTGCTATTTTGCCAACATGAATTAATTTTGTCTTTGAACAGGGCTTTGACCCAGAGCTAAAGCTGAGATCTGTTATCAGAAGCACTTATGATTTCAGAAGGCTCTCTGCCTTCAGCTATCTAGGCCAAGAAGGATTAACACTCCTTCTTGCTGTTTTGAGATGGCAGCAATGGCAGGAAGGTCGAGGTCTGCTTTACCCACAGTTTTTGCAACAGTTTCTGGGTTAACCTGTTATCTCTGTAGCTGGGATGGTGGTGGGCTTCTGCTTGTGAGCCAAAAACAATCACAGAACAACCTCTACYGTGAAACACAGTCATGTAAATCCAGTTTATCCTTGCTCAGAAGAGGAATAGCTTCACTGGTAGGAAACAGCAGCAAAAAATTGGCAGGCTCATGATGTGTTTAAAAAAATGTAGAACTTGCATGGGCAGCCAGGCCCTCACTGACTTGCCTAGGACTGCATGGATCTGGACTGGAGCAAAGATGAAAATTCAGGCTRTCTCAGCTCCCTGTTCTGGGCTCTCATTATCCCTCAGTCTTAACGACAGATCAGACTTAAGGGAGGCAAGATAGCAATTTTAATAATCAAAAAAGGGTGGTATGAAATAGTTTTTCCCAAAGAAATTAAATGGCTCAGTATGCCATAAATCACTACAGCCTCTGACAACGGAGGYGCCAAAAGCTCATCTGCTCACACTGAACAGCTGCTCAAAAATCCTCACCAGTTTAATGCAGACACCCCCAAAATGAGTTTGCATTTATTTCCTCTCCTCTTATCCAAAACACTCTTTGATTTTGAGAGCCCTGAAGAGGTTTGTTAAGAACATCAGAAGGAAGAGGTGGAAGAAGGCAAAATAATATACTCCTTTGCCAAAGCTTTCTCTTCTAAAATGTGATACCGCATGACTTCTTAGTGCAAATAATTACACCTTTAGCCAATAGCTGAGGTGACCCCCAAAGTGTCTAAGGGTGACGTCAGAGATGTTCCTGATGTCAGGAATGTGCAGAAGTGCGTGCAGACTCAGCACGGTGCGTGTGCACCCTCAAGAGCCAGGTTTGCTACTTACGCCATTCAAGCTCCCGAGATCCTTCACCCAGTGCTCATCTTTCTCCTTGTCGTAGTTGATTACAGCGTGTTGTTTATCAACACTGCGGGACTGGGAAGAAAAGCAGAGTGAATGTGAGACTGGTCAGGCATGAGAGACAATTTAATCAAAGCAGATTTCGACATCCAACTAGCTTGATACCGGGGGGGAAGGGAAGGGGGAGAGAAGCACAAAGGATTAGACATTATTACTACTATAAATAACCAAAGGATAAACAGCAAATGCTTCCATGGTTGTTCTAAGCAGCGTGCTGAAGACAACACACTATTCACGTGAAAACTCACTGAACACTGTCAAGACTATGCCAGGATTTCAATATAGTTTATCAAAACACAGTGAAAACAAAACCAGTCACATTGAGAGCCTGGGGGACAGGTTCTCAGCCAGCACAAAGTGGAAGGGCTCCATCTTCCACCAAGTAAAGCTGGTGGCCTCAACGCTGGGGACATTCCTATTTGGGATGGTTTCTTCCTATTTTTCAAAGGTAAAGAAAAAATCGTTTCCTTATGTTACAAGCCAAACTTATTCACAACAATGTATATTGTTTCCAGGACTATGTGCTGGAGTTGATTTAAATTCTAGGATGTTTTCCAAGTCAGAGGAAGGTTACTAAACTCGTGGTAAGAGAGCAAGCTACTCTAGGAAAACTCAGATTTAGAACCAGCTTTGAGAACACTGAACTGGACAGTGACTTGGTTCCAATGACTTTGYCACAGGCCACACAAACCAAACCCAGCTTTTCTTCAAAGAAGAAAATGACACTTCAAGGGGAAATACAGCTGAACTGTTTTCTGGAGGGAGTGTTAAAGTCTCTTTAACAGTTTTGAAATATGCCATGAGTGTTACAGCTATAAAAACAGCAGATCTTCTTTGGATTCACTGTCCTTTCTTCTCTGGTAACTTGGCTGTTGCTGGAGCCGTCTGCAAYCAGCGACTAGCACCAGTCGACCCAAGTAAATCCATCAGCGCATGAACATGTTGCAGAAACCTCCTGGGTATCTCAGAGTGGCTGAAAGGAAGAGCAGCTACCAAAGCAGGGAGACAAGCCAAGCTCTGAACTAGCAAATTCGCCTCTTTCTGGGCATCAACCAAGCAGTTCTTGGGAGAGGAAAAAAAGTCCCTCCCTTTCCAAAGCGTAATTCTGGTTTTCACAATATTGCTCTCAGCAACGTTAACTACTTCCTTGTAGGTAAAGTAGACAGAGGCAAAGGCTGTTTCAGGTGAATTCCTTGATGAACACAGAAGCTTTTTCCTGACAAACTTACTATTTTCAGGAATTTCTTCTGCCCCTGTTGCTGCCAAGCACACTGACAACATCCCAACAGCTGATAAAACATCAGTTCCTTCTTGCAGAGCGCATGTCAATCCAGGAGATCTGTCCTCCAGAGGAATCCCCAGGTATGAATACGAAGCCAGCACATACCAGGCTGGAAGACTGTCCTTGTACTGAGACACTCCTTACATCATCTGCAACACATCATCACAGGTGGAGGCAGGAGGACAGCACACAGAACAGGCCCAGCTGCATCAGCAGCAGTTATCTGGGCACTGCTGACTTTACAAACAGTGCAGGTTCACACAAACCCCAGCTGCAAAAACGAGGCAGAGCTGAGGGCCTCCTGTCTGCTGGAGCTGTCAGAACAGCAGCCGTGACACAAAAAAATAAATGACTGACGACGGGCAGAACAAATGAGGACAACACATTTGGGGACATCCCCCTCGTATCTCCTGCTACACCAAGCCCTAAATGTGGGCAGCAACGCACAGCCGGGCCCTCCAGCGAGGGACAGACACACGGACCTGGGGCATCTCACGTGGCTTTGACGTTCGGCTGCAGCCTCCTACCCCGAACAGACAGGTCCACATCTCATGCATGTGCAGTGTGAAACTGCTGCTTCCCTCCACCATCCCTCAAATCCTGCAGGGAAAGATGCAAAGGGGACCCCTACACTTCCCTGCCCAACTCGGCCCACCTTTTACCACCTTTACACGATGCTGTTTCTAAGTCTTCATTCCCTAAACCAGACAGGAATCACCACAGGCAAGCAGACAGGAATTCCAGTGCCTTGATGTTCCTCTACACAAAAACAGGATCAAGTCACCAAAGGAATGAATTTATGCCATGATTTCCTATCTTCCAGCAGAGCTTCATTTGTATTCAGATTGCACTCTGTAAAAATGAGTCAAAATGATATGCAAAATCATTCGCAGTCTTGAAACTACCTCTCAACATCTCTTTAAAGAGCAAACTGTTGCAGAGATAGCAGTGAAATTTCAGGATTTTGTGAAGAAGAGAAATTTTTTCTCAGTTTTGTTTATGTCAAAACAGCAAACTTCACAGGAACTGGAAAGAGGAGATCCTAAGGGCTCATCTCCAAGGAAACCAAACTTAAAATAACTAAAATTGCACCCTATGCATTTTGATGCAGATCTGCCCAAGGTCACTCCTGCTCGAGAACGGAGGTGCAGTTGCTTCCGTGTGACTTTCATTCACCACCAGCTGCTCCTTTTCACACTGACACCTCAAGGGCTGATCGCTCACCTGTTCCTGGAGAGCAATCCCGCTCAGTCCCGCTTCCAAGCAAAAGACTCACCCGTTTCCACACCATGAGAGCCCAAGCTAAGACATTTCCGTCCTGCAAAGTCATTTCAGACTAGCAGTTCACTGGTTTCTTGGATGACAGAGGGTGATTTAAGACTCCCAAGTCCATGCATGTTACAGAGCTGTCCACAAATACGGACTCCCCAGAGGGTTGCAGCTCCTCTGGAAAGGCTTTTGGGCAGCTTTAAGCTGAAGAAGCTTCAGTGAAGCTGACAATCAAAAACATATGAGGACTCGCCAGTTTAAACATACATTTGCACTGAGCCTTGATCACACCCAGTCACAATCTCCGTAATAAAAGACAAAAATGATTTATATATTTGGAAGGGGATGGAGGGAAGAGAGAATGTGCTGTTCAACTGGAAAATTGTGAATTTCCAATGACAATCAAGTGCCTATACCTAGGAGTTAAGAACAAGGAATAGCTGGTACACCCTAGCACCTGATCTGCTTCTCTGGCAAAGCACCCGTGAGACAGAGGATCACTTGGATTCTGCTTGCAACCAAACAAACCCCAAGCTGCAGCACCTCRGGTAAAACCGAGGGCAAGGCAAGGAGGCAGGGAAAGCAGATCTCCTCAACACAAGTGATTTGTAGGCAAAAACTAAGGCTACACTCAGAGTGGGAATGAGGGAAGAACGTAGCTTTCTCACCACGTTCCCACACTGGGCAGGTGACTGAATGGAAACACCTCCTCAGGAAAACAGTGTGTGCTTCCCTGGTTAACAACATTTACCCTTCTCTGAAAGAAAGAGGTGGGCAGTGGTTTGACATCCAGGGCTTGCATTTCCAGACATACAAATCACTTCCTAATATAAGGCTGCCCTGCTTCTCCATCATRCTATCTTCAATGCATCATGTTTTAAATACCTACTAGAGAAAATACACATGCTGCACTTACCTAAGAGAGGTATTTTACTACCCTTTCCTTCGGGACTATATTAAACAAGAGATATCTCCAAATCACAGAYAGGAATTTTACTCCATGGGTAAAACCTTACACCTAACACCAACGTTTTGCATCAGTCTGCAACCAGACACGCAATCAAGCTGCATGTTCACGATTCTTGAAAGTGCAAGCGCTGGATTAGCCCAGGCCTCCTGCTTAGCATGGGAACAGCAAAACAGCTTTGAGTAGACAAGAGTCTCCATGGCAGAAAATCTCACCCTGGCTGCAGGCTGCAGCTGCCTGCTCGGAGCAGGGGCTGACGCGCAGCAGTCAGCACCRGGGACGAAAACAGGAGCTGCAGGGATGGCAAGGAAAATCCACAGGGAAACAGGACCTGCTGGGGATGGCAGCAGGAGAAACAGAGCAAGGTGACTGCGTATYCCCAAAGGGTCAGGGGGCAGATGCAGCTCAGCTGTCTACGGAGACACAGATCCTGCTTTCTGCCCCGTTGGGAGCTCCCATGGGCACAAACCTGCTGCTCAGGGCCGAGAGATTTGGAGCTGAGCCCTGCCAGTGCCGCGAGGCATCGTGGTACTGGAGATAAAATAAACACGGGAGAGCAGCTTCCCTGTTCCTGGCTGCAGCCTGTTGTGCATGTCTGGCACTGGGGAACTGCAGCATTCTGGTAGCAACGCGCAATAAACATTTGCTCAAATACTTTCCATAGTGAACAGGTTACATTTCTGYCAGTGCTGTGCTCTGCACAAGTGTCCCAGTAAGGAAACAGAAGCCTCTCCCAGTGTCCCACTTTAAAAGGGAGACAGGCAAAGCTATTCAGAAAATAAAAAAAAAAATATAAAAACACCCACACTTGCATTCCAGTCTAAAATACGTTTTTTGCTYCTCAGAAGCAAAACCCTGGATAATGTTTAATGACAGATGAACACTAGTTTTTCTCCTACCTTCACTATGCATTTAATACAGCTTTGTATCTTGGTCACTTCAGTACTTTTCCATGATTTCAGTGACTGCTCTACCCTGCCACAGGCCATGGCAAGGGAGACACCCCTGCACAGGAGGGCCCCCTGCTCCCAAGGGCATGTCTTAGTTTCTAAATGATCTTACCAAAGCAGACAAATGTGTCTTAGAAAGTGCAGCCACCCTCACTTCAGAGCCCCCCCTGCCTTCAGCTCTGCTGCAGTCAAGACCCACTGGATCTGYTGCAAGACCAGGGCCTGCCTAACTCATGCAAATATAAGGCACTGAACAAAAGAAAAAGAAATCCCCCCCCAGGAAAATGAAACCATAATCCCCACAGCTTGGCAAAGGGATTTGGAGGCTGGCATAGTTCCCGTAACTACTTAACCCTTTATGCTGAGGTAGAGGCGGTTTCTGCATGCTGGTTCCCCTTCTCTGATATGGAGCACCCTTCTCTGAACTCTTCTTGGACTCCAGGTACCCGAGTGTCCACCTATTTCAGGCTGTGCCATCGTCAACCACCCCTTCCTGCTCTGCCTCTAGCAACCAACTCTCCTCCCAGGTTGGCCTCTCCTGTCTTCA